TCCTCTCTTTTCTATTTTGGCTTTTCTGTTACGGGACCCACTTGGCTCGGTGTAAAATTAGATATACATTTGCATCTTTTTTCCCATCTTACGGTTGTGATGTACATTTATAGCCGTATACACCTCCCCATTGCAGAACATTCCGGCAACCAAATGTGTATATTTGACATACACCTCCATATACACCTTACCACTGTGTATGTTTTTAGAGTTGTAGGACTTGATTTCTTCTTAACAGATGTTCAATTAGGCCACATTCAATGCAAGAACCCAATATTTGGACGCAAATTCAAATTATGGGTCCTCTTATCATTCTATAATTTCTCATACAGTAAAGAGTTGTTGGAGAAGAACATTGTACATTTGCATCATTTTAATAACTTCCCCATTTTAATAAATCTTAGCCACTCCTTGGGCCCACCATTTTAATAACTTCCCCGTTTTTTAGGCAGCTTTCCTCTCTTTTCTATTTTGGCTTTTCTGTTACGGGACCCACTTGGCTCGGTGTAAAATTAGATATACATTTGCATCTTTTTTCCCATCTTACGGTTGTGATGTACATTTATAGCCGTATACACCTCCTCATTGCAGAACATTCCGGCAACCAAATGTGTATATTTGACATACACCTCCATATACACCTTACCACTGTGTATGTTTTTAGAGTTGTAGGACTTGATTTCTTCTTAACAGATGTTCAATTATGCCACATTCAATGCAAGAACCCAATATTTGGACGCAAATTCAAATTATGGGTCCTCTGATTGTGATAAGTAAAGCATAAAATGCATTGGTACATTTTCTTAAAAAATACGATAAAAAAATTTGGCCACTACATAATATTTTAATAATAATATTTTTTTATATGTAGTCTTTTCATAAGAATACATGAGAAAGACAACTAGGATATGTGAATAAATATGCATATTAGTTGTGAGTATGTATAATAGACGAATTATACATTTATTTTTAAAGTTACAAAATTTTCATATTATGAGAAATATACATAAACAAAAATATTTATAAAAAATACATACATATATAATATGCGAATTTACTAAGTATGTTATAAATATCCATTCATTATTTTGCTCTAATATGGAGGAATGAATTTTCTTTTGAGTCATAGGCCATGAAGGGAACAAGATGAGGTTCATAAACTTGCACCTACCTCCCTTTCCAAATTCCCATCTACCACAAAATTATTAAAGAGAAAAAGAAAACACTCCCCACCTACTCATCTATTGGAATAAAATACACATTGATAAGCTATCCTTTTGCCAATATTTGCACAATGTCAAATCGTCACACATGCTGAACAAATGATGTATTGTCTGCTACTTTTACAACTTGTGAAAAAAAATTGTGATGTGTTACCTTCTTTTGATTTGAGATACGCAATGCACATGCACCATCATAATGCAGCTCAAGTCTCATATATTCATTTGCTTCTTTGCCATATCTTAGTCTTCTTTGAGGTATTTTATCAAACTATTTGCCCCCATTCAACAGAAAATATAATGAAAACTTGGCATCTTCATAGGTGTAGAACAAGACTGAGTGGGGGCTAGTGCCTTCACTGGTTCCTTACTAGATCCGCCAATATGTGGAACGTTTACTTAACTAGAGTGTTTATTTTTGTGTTATTCGTTAATATGAGATTGAAATTATTATGATTCATGACTTTTCCAGTGTTTATTAATTTTAAATACATAGTCACCTTAAGTCAATTAGATAGTTATACTTTATAAGGAAGCTACGTATTCTTCCTAAGATCAAGTCCTTTATTTGACTTTTAGTCCAAGATAAGATCCTTACTAATGAGTAGAAGTGCATTAGCAACATGATGTGATGTGATCATGTGAGTGTGAGTGTATGTTGTTCCTCATGAATTCCATTTTGCAGAAATACAGGCTTGAATTTTTATGGGCGATTAACATGGACTCCAATATAAAACTCACATGCATTCATAATTCCAAATTACTCACACGCTCACATGTTTATGGGCGATTAACTTTAACATTCCAAATTACATCTCGCATTATATTTTATTAACCAATTGTTTACCAGTACTGTACAAAGTGGGTTGTGCCTCGTTGGGCCTTAAACTTTGACCCATGTATTATAACCATGGCTGGATTTGGGCTTGCCTAAATTGATTTCTTCCATTCCTCCTTACTGAGTCTGCTTAAAAAGAATTAGGCCGGGACTTCTTGGCCCATGGTGTACCAGATTTTCTTGTGCCCAAGATAGCAATGGAATTGTTCGTGCCAAATTTAAAAAATAAATGGTTTTTGTGGGCAAAATGGTGTTTGGCAATAGGTCAAAACAGAGGGCTGCTTTTTCCATGACTATTTCTCCACCCACTTTTAAACGGAATTTTTTATGACAAGTTTATAATTTTGCACAAAAGACGCGCTAAGGACTTGAGTAAAAAGAAAAATAGAAACGTAATCTTACTATATATCCATCTGCCTCTCTACATTACTGACATGTTTATTGATCCGTAATTGGATTAGAAGGAATTGAATTGAGGATGAGTTGGATTGATAAGAATTAGATTCCAGATTCCTATGGAAGTTGTTTACTAAACTATATGGATTGAAGGGAGTTAGATTCCAGATTCCTATTGAAGTTGTTTACTAAATCATATGAAATTGAGGTATGAGTGATACTAATTACTAAAATGTCATCGTTGTTAGGTTAAAGTATATGACAAATTTTAAAATTGTGTGAGGATGTGGTGGGTAAAAAGATGAATTCCTAATGGGTTAGTTATCTAGGAATTAGAATACCACCTCTCATCCAAGAATTGAATTTCTCCAAAATCAGAAATTCAATTCTTAATTTTGTGTGGGCCGCACTTACTTTTCAATTCCTTGATGTGAAGTAAACTCAGGAATCCTCCATAGGTGGAATTCAATTCCTGATGAGAATTCCAATTCCTAATTAGTAGACACACCATGCATTCATCTAAATTCACTAATGGATGAGATTTGTTAGGACTCAAGATTCCACATTAGAAAAATATCATATCCTAAAGTGGATTAAGAGCTCTTGAGCATCAAAAGGGTGTTTCGTGAAAAAAGGGAGATAACTTTTGAAGTCTTTTAGAAGTGTTATATGTCAATGGATAGAACATGCCAATAACCAAGTAGCTCATATCATATCTTTCATCATACTTTCACAATATGCGCAATATTACCCAACCTCAAGATTTGAGGGGTGGGAGAATGAGATTAGGGTTTATGAGTAAATTGTTTAATTGATATATTTAGGATATTTTAGAAATAATAGTGAGTGAAAATACGATGATTCCGTTTTTTCATAATTTAATGGGAGTGAAAATAACATCACTCAATATTCAAAAGGATGCTAGGGTTATCAATCATGCATTGGAAAATACCATTTTTGCCGGTTAGGTTTTTTATAAATATGAAATTGTGCCAATTTGACCCTTAAATTCTTAAAAAAATGGTATTTTGATAACATACCCTAAATAATGTGATTCTCGTTTGGGATGAAGTTGAGAAACAGAGTATGAGATAAAAGCTATTGAAAGATTCATCTGCAAATTACAAAGGGAATGATAAAAGATAAAAAAGAGAGTATAATAGTGTTATAAATGCAGATTTTATGGATGGTTACTCACAATAATATCACTCATTTGAAGTGAAGGGTGGAGTAATTTTTGTATGTTCCGGGTACATCAGTTGGTTGGTGTACGAACGTTCAATACACATGAGACATGTGAAAATATTCTCCAATATACATAGGACATAAAAATAAAAAAATTTCACATGTCCCATGCATATTGGATGGTACACCAGCCCGGAACATACAAAAATTATGTTAAATCTAACGTGGCACTTTTAGCATCTAGAAAAAAAAAAAGAGCCTCACTCCAACCGAAATGTTAAATCCTACGTGACATAACATTTATGTCTCATGATGTTATATTTTGGCTCAATTTACCTCTTAAATCTACTTTTCCTATTTATGTATTAACAAGGTGTCACCATGATGCATTTCGCATTTCTTGGTTGTGTTCATGGTTGTAGTTGTAGTTGTTGTTTTTTTTTCCGTCTTAATTATTCTATTGTCCTTCGAAAAGTAATTTTGCAATTGAAAGTCATTTTGACATAGTTTACCGAATAAATCAACCCTTGGTGTTCCATTTTATTCCATATTGTCAAGTTCGTTAACTAGGACCCACAAATGCCGCGTCTGAACTTTGAATAGAAAATTTAATAGACTCAATAATAAAGAGTAAAGTGCAACACAAAAAGTTGATTTAAGAGGAAAATTGAGCCAAAATACCCTTCGATAGAAAGGATGGAGACCTAAGGGACATTCGAACCTTTATGCCTTTGAGTTTTTAGGAACAATAGTCACATAACTTGTACTCGAGTCACATTTTGGTCATTTATTATTATTATTAAAGAATTGAAATTTCATTCAAATTAAAAATCAGCTTACAAATAGCAGAGAAAACAAGAGGCGAAAAGCAAAGTGGTTTCGTTAAAACCTTGCCATAAAAACTCCGATGGAGGAAATCCAATCAAGAAAAAAAGAGTACAACGACATCCACCCATTACAAAAAAAGAAAAAAAAAACATTTTCAATAACCATATCCTCCAGATTAGTGCCAACAACTGCACATTCTGGTCATTGAATTTCCAAAATGTGTGTTATACTTCCATTAGCACCGTTGATTATGACATTACATTTTCTGTCAAATTTAATCTAAAATTTAACAAATTATGTAACGTATCTGATGTAAGGACCAGTGCTAACGAAAATTGAGTTGACTACAAGTCTACAACACCTAAAAACCTTCTAACAACAAATTGTGTTTTTGTTTTTTTTGTTTTTTTGTTTTTCTTCTTTTAATGTTTGGAATTTTGGATCCGTAGAATCCTAATGAGATCATCCTGATACACTATTTTATATTCCTCTATATACAAATATAATAATAAAAATGGCAAAAATTGGAGCCTATGACGAAACGAGAGGCAGCCGCGCAGTGTGTTCAATCGCTTTACGGCTCTCTCTCTCTCTCTCTCTCTCTCCCTCTTCCGTCTCCAAGACTAAAGCGCGCTGTTCTATCGTTGGCCCCAAGCAGTCTGTGAGGCTTTGAGCACACTATGGCCCTCGTCGGCGTGCTTGCTTTACAGGGGTCTTTCAACGAACACATAGCAGGCAACCCCTTTTCCTCTCTCTCTCTCTCTCTCTCTCTCTCTCTCTCTCTCTCTCTCTCGTGGCATATGTATTTCTATATTGTTCCAAGTGTTAACTGGAATTTTGTGTCTGTGGTTGTGTGTTGTAGCGCTGAGAAGGCTTGGGGTGAAAGGCGTGGAGATAAGGAAACCAGAGCAGCTTGAAACCGTGGCTTCCCTTATTATCCCTGGAGGAGAGAGCACCACCATGGCTAAGCTCGCTGAGTACCACAATCTGGTCTCTTTCTCTCCCTCCCTCTCTCCTCTCTCTCTCTCTCTCTCTCTCTCTCTCTCTGCGCTTTTGTTGATTTATTAGTGCTTTTTTGCTTTGTTTCTTGTTGGTTTAATACGAAAATGACTTCTATAGAACTTCAGTAAAAAATGGTATAGTTTTGTTTTTGAGTGGTGTAATCTGTATATTTTTGTTGGGAGATTCGGTTAAATGTGGATTAGAGAAAAGGTGGTCTTTACTATAACCATGTTTGAACAATTTTGGCTTGCCTTTTTGTACTAAAAAAAGCAAACGAAAGGAAAACATAGAAATATACTATAGCCTTTTTTGAATTTGATTAACAAGCAATGAACTTGGCTAAATGTAACTTCCAATTTTTATTTTCTATTTCTGAAAAAAGGAATTTTGCTAATTTTTTGTGTATGTTCTACTTGTTTATATACTCTAATGTATTTTGACTTGCCAAATTTAGGAATTCTGGCATTTTCTTCAATGTCATATTTGATTGTGACGTATTGAGTTTATTGACAGTTTCCTGCTTTGCGTGAGTTTGTCAAAATGGGGAAGCCTGTTTGGGGAACCTGTGCAGGGCTTATCTTCTTAGCAAACAAAGCTACAGGTTCATTTTCTTTCTTTCTTTTCTTTTATGAATCCTTAAGTTTTTGGTATTTCATTTTTCTTCATCAATAGAATTAAAAGCAGCAATTTTTATTATTATTTTTAGTATTGAGTTGAGTGGCATGTGTTTTCAGGACAGAAAATAGGAGGACAGGAACTTATTGGAGGCCTAGATTGCACTGTCCACAGGAACTTCTTTGGCAGTCAGGTAATGCACTGACTTCTGTATTCTCATCTTAAACAGGCTTATCAAAATAGATAAGCCATAAGCAGAAAAAAAATGAGACACCCATTTTACTGGTAAGTGTGTCAGTATTTAACATGGTAAATTGTCCTAAAGTTCTTGAATTTGGAATGTTCATAAAAGAAGAGCTGTACAGGGCACATAGTGTGAAGTTTGAATGGTTTGATTGTGTTTGCAGTTCATTTCTGTTACCTGAAGCGTCATCTGTCTACCATATATTTCTATACTTAGTTTATTGGAATGGTGGATGTTGTCATTCTAGATTTCTAATGTCACATTCATGTTATCTTGAAAGGTTTCCACACTATAATTAGCGAATTCCATTGGACCTGTTAATTGAAAGCTTTATTAGATTATGATGCAATATAAACTGTCTAAAATAAACTAATTTCATAAACCACATCACTATTTCTTATGTAAAGAAAAACATCACTTTTTTTTTAATCTAACAAGTAAAGCGCTTGTTATTAGCATAGAAACATTTAAAAAAGAAAGGAAAAAAAATTGTAGAAAAACTTTATAAATTTGTGTAAGCTGTAATTTGTACTTCAGAGGGTTAATTATCAGGAAAAAGATCATGGGGCTAATGGAATACGAATTTGACCCTCCATGATTATAACTCAGGTTTTAATGTTAAAGAAAGGAATAAAAAAGAAAAAAAGGGCTGCGAGGAACTGTGGATTATTAGGGAACTATCTGTTGTAAATTGTAATACGTCAGTTTATTTGATGTTGATATTCGATGTTGGGGTTCTTGAGTTGTCTGTCTGTTATTAATCTTGTTTTTCTAAAATAAATTACAGATTCAAAGCTTTGAGGCAGAACTTGCAGTACCAGAGCTTGCCTCTAGGGAAGGTGGTCCTGAAGTATTTCGTGGAGTTTTCATCCGTGCTCCTGCTATCCTTGACGTAGGACCAGAAGTTCAAGTGATGGCTGATTATCTTGTCCAATCTAATGAGGTATTGGATTCAAATTCTGCTGTTGAAGCACAAGAGGTTTGTGGTTCTTTCTTCTGTCTGTAGAAATTTTTACTGGCTATAATGCTATATAATCAGTCCGTAGTCAAGGACTCGTTGGTTTCTTTTAGATCGGCAGCTTTATTTGCTTTTTCAAAGACCATATTTCCTTGCAAACCATAAATCATCGAATTATGTAAGAGATGGGTAAATTCAACCAGCTTCACTCAGTGGATTTGGCAATTCTATTTTTGTGGCTAGGGTAGATAATATTAGAACGTAATTCCTTTAAAAAGGTAATTAGTTTGGACGTTTATGATAGTGAAGCAAATGATGGTCAAAAGTACAATTTGATATATGAGAAGCAGTCAATTTCTTGTGGTCTGGTCTTAAATTTATGCCTATGATTAAAAGCTGTTGAATACAATCAGACTGATACTTTGATATGTTCATGAGGATGGGACTATTTTAACAATGCTCATCTGCAATTAGTTACCTGGCATCTGATCTTGTAGAAATGTCATCTAGCTTAGTTTTTGGGCTCTTTAAAAACAACCACTCACAAACCCGGTTGTGTCATGTGTTTATAAGACAACTTATTTTTTAGTGTTTATAAGACAACTTATTTTTTAGATAATTTGATTTTGCACTGAAATCTATTGTCAGTAGCACTGCTTCTGTTCTGGGGTGCAAATATTCAGTTTATTGCAATGAAAAACATTAGCACCATTCATTGACTATGATTTACCAGTGGTGATGGTGATGTACCACTGGAATATATTAATTGTGTTTCACCTTCTTTTGTTGCTTTTTTCTTATTAGCTTTGTATATTTCAGGAGAATACTGGGTCTGAGAAGAAAGTGATTGTAGCAGTTAGACAAAGGAATCTGTTGGCGACTGCCTTCCATCCTGAACTGACAGCAGACACTCGATGGTAATTACGTATGTTCTGTTGGGGTGGATCTAATTTCTTCTAAATTAGACACGAGGTTCTAAATATTTGTTTGCGCAGGCATAGTTACTTCTTGAAGATGGCAACTGAAACTGGAGAAGAGGCCTCAAGTAGCATTGTTGCTGTTGGAGCAGATCTGAATCTTGACCAACAACCAAAGATTGACCTCCCTATATTTCAATAGTGCCAGTGAGATAACTGAGATAAAGGCGTGTTTCCTGCATTTTTGAAATTATATACTTTTATCAGTCGGTTTTTTCCTTTCCTGATGTTCATGTATGACATCTGTTAAAGGTTTTTGATTGTCAACAAGTATTCTTTCTGGTAATTGGTTTAGTTTTAAGGCAGATAACCAGTTCTGCGTTTCAGACAGTGTATATAAAGTATAAAGTTGAATAGAAAGTTTCTTTTTAATTCTTGAAATAAATGTTAACAATATTTTGTTTCTCTAGTCAGATGTGAATTACCACTTTGCATTTCTCAAGTGTGCTTAATTGCGAATGCTTGCTAGTACAACAAAATTGGGAGTACTTCATATATGATGTTTTACAGTTTGAAGTCGAAATGAAATCAATGCTTTGGATAGATGTGTAAAACGTACCAGCAGGACACTTGACACATCGCGTGAAGAGAGAGGGCATGCTCTTCTAACTTAATAATTCTGTTCCCAATCCTTAGTTTGCTTCTCCGATCTTCTTTTTCTCGTGATCCCTGATTCCTCCTCTCCTAAAATCCTTTCTAATTTCTAAGTTCTCATTACTTGTTCTACATCACAAGGAAAAGAAGAGTGCAAGTGAAACCCAGCACTTGGGATATGGGCCAATCTTACCCTCAACTGTGTTGACAAAAAAATACGCATCACTTGTGAAACATGTTTAACACGTGTGTGATATGTCAATGACATTTGAACTCAGTATCTTATCTAACGAAGGGTAAAACATAACATCATACAACTAAACCAAGTTGAGCTGGTATCTTCAATGGCGGATATGACCCTTTGCTTATCAAGTTAGTCAATGAATGCTATCTTCATGCGTGCATCTTTTCTTTTCTCTGATACGTTTCTTGCATGCGTAGCTATAACCTATTCATAGCAGAATCGTGCTTCCTACAAAACCATTTTACATCAAGGTCCAATATATTAGTTTAGAAAATTTTATGATTGCAAAATAAGCATTTCTAGGGCATTTGAGTTTGTGAAAAATAATGAATCAGATAAATTAAAGTTCCTCTCATTATTTTTCGCCAATGCAAAATATAGGGGCACAAAAAATCCGAGACCATCCGACTGAAAGGCAAAAATGCTTCTATGAGCTTGCCATACTGCGTCGGACTATGACAAAGATTAGAGTTGAAATCCTCGTCCAAATGTTAATTAATTGGGGTTAGACAACTTTTAATTGATGATTTCATGCAAAATTGCAATTTTGCTTTGCATCACTTTGAGCCAGCCGTAAGAAATGATGATGTGCTACGCAAAATACAACTCTAAAAAGTCGTGCCCAGTCTTCACTGCAAACTCAAGCCAACGCCAATGCTTCAGGATGTTAAAAGGATGTTTTGAATGGGTATCTAACCGAAATATAGTTAGAAATACTTTGGTCAAAACAAATGGCACCCAAATCAAATTATAAAATATTAGCAGATAATGCCTAGTTTCTCCCTAATACTCCCCTATAAATATCATTTTGAACCCTGCCCTTCCCATCTATCCTTCAAGTGCTCAAAGTACTAGTAAATCACTAGAAGGAGTAGATCAACATACACAGTAGCTAGAAATGGCAAAATTAAAAGCGTCTTATATATTAATGGCTCTCTTTGTAGTGCTCATTGCTATGGAAGCCACATCTGTTCACGGCCAAGGCAATGGAAATGGCAACGGCAACGGCAACACTGGCAGTGGCAACGGAAATGGGAATGGTAATGGCAACACTGGCAGCGGCAACGGAAACGGCAATGGAAACGGCAACACTGGCAGCGGCAACGGAAATGGCAATGGGAATGGCAACGGCAACACCGGGAGTGGCAACGGCAACGGTAATGGTAATGGCAACGGGAATGGAAACGGCAATGGGAATGGTAATGGAAATAGTGGAAATGGCAACGGTAATGGCAATGGCAACGGCAACGGCAACGGCAACGGCAACGGCAATGGTGGCAACGGAAATGGCAATGGTGGCAATGGAGTCAATGACAGTACAAACTACGACGTATTGCCACCACTAGAATCCGGACAGGAGCGATACCAGTGCAAAGCACTAGGGGCCTGTTTCTACAAGACCCTTGTATGTCCACCAGAATGCCCTCAGAGAAAGCCCAAAAACAACAAGAAAGAAAAGGGTTGCTTCGTTAACTGCGGTAGCAGCTGTGAAGTCACTTGCAAGGGTAAGCCTCCTACCTTAGTTACTTTAATTTGATCTCTCAATTCTGCCAATACTTGCACAATAAAACTACCGAGACCACATTTACTCACCACATTTAGTTATAAGGAAGTGATAAATATGTAGTTAGTAGATGTGCTACAAATAACACTCTTTATTAATAAACTACATTGTGCTAACCTCTTTCGCAGTTAGAAGAAACAACTGTGACGGCTATGGCTCTATCTGCTACGACCCTCGGTTTATTGGTGGTGATGGTGTCATGTTCTACTTCCATGGAGCCAAGGGAGGAAACTTTGCCATTGTCTCAGACGATAACCTCCAAATCAATGCACACTTCATCGGGACTCGACCACAAGGAAGGACTCGCGATTTCACATGGATTCAGGCCATCTCAGTGATGTTTGACACTCACACCCTTGTCATTGCAGCAAAAAGGGTCTCAAAATGGGATGACAAAGTTGATGCTCTCATGGTAAAGTGGGATGGTGAGACCACTAGCATCCCAACTAATGGAGAAGCCGAATGGAGGACTAGCGACAAAGACAGAGAGGTGATAGTCGAAAGAACGGATGACACTAACTATGTAAGAGTTATAGTGACTGGGATCGTGGACATAGCCATTAGGGTTAGGCCTATTGGAGACAAAGAAGACAGAGTTCATCACTACCATATACCAGATGATGATACTTTTGCTCACTTGGAGACACAATTCTCATTCTCCAATTTATTGTCTCCTCTTGTTGAAGGAGTTTTGGGAAAGACTTACAGGCCAGGCTATGTTAGTCCAGTGAAGAGAGGAGTTCCAATGCCATTGATGGGTGGGGAAGACAAGTATAAAACTCCATCACTCTTTTCACCTCTCTGCAAGGTGTGCAGGTTCCAAACTACTACTCAATCTGCAGGGCTTGCAATTACAAGTGAAGGACTTGGTGATCAATACTGATCCATTCATATGGTCATCACTGGAAATAAACAACGTTTCTTAGTTGTTAAAGTTCAATAATCAAGTGTATAATCTGATTTTAGATAACTAAAATATTCTGTACTACTTAAGTGATGTTTTTCTTGATGCGGTAGCCGTGCCCGTGGTCAGTTGGCTATTCAAATAAAAGAGGTTTATTATGTGGTGCACTTTTAATGAAATTCTAGGCTATCTTCGGTGGATGAACTACTTCGATAGTAAGCCTAAGGAAATTTTTTTTTTATCATTCAATTAAAAATATTGGAAACATGAACAAGAACTTGAAGTAAACTCATGTAAAAATCAAGGGCTGTTGAGAGAAAGGCCCATGTAACTCATATATTCCAAATATAAACCCACTCATTTTTAACTTCTAACTAAAACATTTAAAATATATTAACATTCGTCGTAGTACTTTCAACTATTTTACAATTGATGCCATCCACCTTTAAATTACATTAAAACGTTTAAACATTTCATGTAATCATAACATATTAACTGAGGGACTTTATTACCGTTCAAATAGAAGGGATCATAATTACACTCTCTAATTAATGTAAATTTTCTCTTATCATCTATTTTATTTAGTAATGGATATAAATTAGAGTGCGGTTAAACGAACCTTAAAATTAACTGAGTACACCCTATTACCAAACTATTTATTGAATTACTAATTTACCCTAATATAAAATGACCAAAAAAGATATATTATTCAACCCTAATTAAACATAAGCGAAAAACCAAGAATCTAGCAAATTAGATGGTTACTATAGTGCAAATTGGATGCATCAAAAGGAAAATATATCCAGAATTGATAACTAAGACGTACAAGTTATAAATGCTTTGTGTCTGTATATCTCGTCCACAGTGTCCTATTTTTTCCGTCTCAAAGATATAAAGCAATGAAACCAATCAAGATCGAACAAGCTTTATATTTATTTGTAATAGATTGTGCAAATATCCAATCTTATATGCTATTGGGTTTGTTATATTGATTGACATTCAATACCATCCTTACCCTGCCCCATCTTGAACACCATACTCGAAAATTTTCCTAAACTCATCCCCATACTCCATTTATGTGCTTCACACCTGACCCATTAGGGTCAAGGCCCCGCCCCAAACATCATACTCAAATCACTAATTGTATGGCCCACAAGCTCGAGCCACAATTGGTTTGCTTTCACTTCATATGTGTTTCCTTTCCATAATTTTATGCACAAGTGAAACTTGTATCTTCAATGGCGGGTGCCTTTTGCTGAATTATCAAATTGATGATTAATGACGACTTAAAGTAGCTTGTATGTATTTTTCTTGTGAGAAGAGACGTATACATCATGCATGCCTCTATCTATCTATATTCTCAGTTAATTCAGGTTAAGGCTCACTAGTTTAATCTCAAATTAAAGGCAACCCAACTAGATTTCAGGTGACGTCGTTTAGGTTCTGCCAATCCTACATTCTCTATACATAGTAAAATAGTTGTACAATATTATTCTACGTTAAGGTCCATATGATACGTACCAATCAAATAAATTAGTAGTATATATGAGTGCAAAATAAGCATTTCTTGGCAGAGTCTTGTTTGAGTTTAGAATAACTTCACAACAAAAAAATATTGCCTGGTGACGCTAATGCACAAGCTGATTACGTTTGTGTCCATGACTTCCAAGTTCCAAAGGTCCATCCATACATGCTCGCTATAGAATTCTTGTGCACAACAAGCCCTGAGATTAAATGGCTTCATCCGCCATTTTCTATTTTCGATACACAAGTTGAGCTGGTATCTTCAATGGCGGATACGACCCTTTGCTTATCAAGTTAGTCAATCAATGCTATCTTCATGCGTGCATCTTTTCTTTTCTCTGATACGTATCTTGCATGCGTAGCTATAACCTATTCATAGCAGAATCGTGCTTCCTACAAAACCATTTTACATCAAGGTCCAATATATTAGTTTAGAAAATTTTATGATTGCAAAATAAGCATTTCTAGGGCATTTGAGTTTGTGAAAAATACTGAATCCGATAAATTAAAGTTCCTCTCATTATTTTTCGCCAATGCAAAATACAGGTGCACAAAAAATCTGAGACCATCCAACTGAAAGGTAGAAATGCTTCTATGAGCTTGCCATACTGCGTCGGACTATGACAAAGATTAGAGTTGAAATCCTCGTCCAAATGTTAATTAATTGGGGTTAGACAACTTTTAATTGATGATTTCATGCAAAATTGAAATTTTGCTTTGCATCACTTTGAGCCAGCCGTAAGAAATGATGATCTGCTACGCAAAATACAACTCTAAAAAGTCGTGCCCAGTCTTCACTGCAAACTCAAGCCAACGCCAATGCTTCAGGATGTTAAAAGGATGTTTTGAATGGGTATCTAACCGAAATATAGTTAGAAATACTTTGGTCAAAACAAATGGCACCCAAATCAAATTATAAAATATTAGCAGATAATGCCTAGTTTCTCCTTAATACTCCCCTATAAATATCATTTTGAACCCTGCCCTTCCCATCTATCCTTCAAGTGCTCAAAGTACTAGTAAATCACTAGAAGGAGTAGATCAACATACACAGTAGCTAGAAATGGCAAAATTAAAAGCGACTTATATATTAATGGCTCTCTTTGTAGTGCTCATTGCTATGGAAGCCACATCTGTTCACGGCCAAGGCAATGGAAATGGCAACGGCAACGGCAACACTGGCAGTGGCAACGGAAATGGGAATGGTAATGGCAACACTGGCAGCGGCAACGGAAACGGCAATGGAAATGGCAACACTGGCAGCGGCAACGGAAATGGCAATGGGAATGGCAACGGCAACACCGGGAGTGGCAACGGCAACGGTAATGGTAATGGCAACGGGAATGGAAACGGCAATGGGAATGGTAATGGAAATAGTGGAAATGGCAACGGCAACGGCACTGGAGGCAATGGCAACGGAAATGGCAATGGTGGCAACGGAAATGGCAATGGTGGCAATGGAGTCAATGACAGTACAAACTACGACGTATTGCCACCACTAGAATCCGGACAGGAGCGATACCAGTGCAAAGCACTAGGGGCCTGTTTCTACAAGACCCTTGTATGTCCACCAAAATGCCCTCAGAGAAAGCCCAAAAACAACAAGAAAGAAAAGGGTTGCTTCGTTAACTGCGGTAGCAGCTGTGAAGTCACTTGCAAGGGTAAGCCTCCTACCTTAGTTACTTTAATTTGATCTCTCAATTCTGCCAATACTTGCACAATAAAACTACCGAGACTAAATTTACTCACCACATTTAGTAAGGAAGTGATAAATATGTAGTTAGTAGATGTGCTACAAATAACACTCTTTATTAATAAACTCCATAGTGCTAACTTTTTTCTCAGTTAGAAGAAACAACTGTGACGGCTATGGCTCTATCTGCTACGACCCTCGGTTTATTGGTGGTGATGGTGTCATGTTCTACTTCCATGGAGCCAAGGGAGGAAACTTTGCCATTGTCTCAGACGATAACCTCCAAATCAATGCACACTTCATCGGAACTCGACCACAAGGAAGGACTCGTGACTTCACATGGATTCAGGCCATCTCAGTGATGTTTGACACTCACACCCTTGTCATTGCAGCAAAGAGGGTCTCAAAATGGGATGACAAAGTTGATGCTCTCATGGTAAAGTGGGATGGTGAAGCCATTAACATCCCGACCAATGGAGAGGCTGAATGGAGGACTAGCGATGAAGATAGAGAGGTGATAGTCGAAAGAACTGATGATACTAACTATGTAAGAGTTATAGTGACCGGGATCGTGGACATAGCCATTAGGGTTAGGCCTATTGGAGAAAAAGAAGACAGAGTTCATCACTACCATATACCAGGTGATGATACTTTTGCCCACTTGGAAACACAATTCTCATTCTCAAATCTGTCTGCTCTTGTGGAAGGAGTTTTGGGAAAGACTTACAGGCCAGGCTATGTTAGTCCAGTGAAGAGAGGAGTTCCAATGCCATTGATGGGTGGGGAGGACAAGTACAAAACTCCATCACTCTTCTCACCTCTCTGCAAGGTGTGCAGGTTCCAAACTACTACTCAATCTGCAGGGCTTGCAATTACAAGTGGAGGGCTAGACGATCAATACTGATAAATTCACACAATCACGAGAACAAACTTCGTTTTTTAAATTGTTTGCCATAATAAAGTGTTTTTATTATGTATCTGGTTTTGGGTAACTTTTTAAGCATTGTATATGTTGAATTAATGAATAACAAATGAGGACTGCAAATTAATCTTGCCCAGACATGGCTAAGGATGGACCATCGAGCCAACAGGGTCTAGCTAGACTTGTAGACTAGCGGTCTTAAGTTTGAACCCCCATGACACCGTGGTAATGTGTGTGTGAGAAACTCCCCTCTCTCCCCCAAAAAAAAAAAAAAAAAAAAACACAAAAAATGCAAAGGAAAGAAATAATATAAGACAGAAATAATTAAGAAAAAAGACTACAAGATGCAAAGGAATCTAGCTAACTTAAGCCTATTACCCCTAACCCTCACCACATGGGGTAACCTGAAGAATTTCATCTTGTATCATTTCGTTGTACTTGAAATAACTCTTTATATTATGGGAGGTTGAAGAAAACTTGTGACTTTTGTTTGTAAATTAAAGGAAAACAAAAGTAGAAGGGTAACATATAAATTGTAGACAAAGTAGCTTTGCTGGCAATATTTTCGTGGTCCTAGACAGTTGCGGGGTTTGAATAGCTTTATGTAAAATTTCACTTGGTATATGGTAGTGATGTGAATAAAGAAGTTCAATTTGGCAAACCAAAAACAAGAGTAACAATCACCACAAAGATTTTTTATGTCGAAAACTCGAAATGGAAAAATCACATAACTTAATCCATCACAAACAATCCACTGTGGGATAAATCTCTAATACATCGTGACTCCCTCCATGGATTACACAAGCCCCACCACCGATAACGTTCTTCCTAGCTAACCTATCATACGTTAGACACCTTCCAAGACTTTCTTAGGACTCATTTAGCAAGCAACATTTTTATGATGCAAGGTATGTAGGGAACCTAGAGAGCTCATTCTCAACATGTTCATCTTAAAAATCTTACCTAAATATTTGGCATTTCCTTTGTAAACCCAAACAAAGGATTTTTTGTATACCTTATTTTGTTACGAGATTCTAAAAAGAGTGAATTCTAAAATTAATTCAATTTTTTTAATTTTTATTTTTTGTAAATAAGACTCACTAATTTAAGTTATTTAATCTTAACCACAGTGATGTAGAACAGATGACAGAAGCACTTGAAGAGGAGCTGGAGCATCATGAGCACAAGGGAAAAATTGGAAAGCTGCAAGTTTGGGTCCCGAGCTCGGAATCAGGCCCATGACATGTCATTTCAAATAGAACGACGTCATGAGTCAAACTCATTGTTTTGTCATGATGTATGAGATTTTTCAAGCGTTGGGCGTCATTTAGTAGCCCAACAAAACATTTTAGTTTTTGAGCTAGTTTTTGGAAATTTTATTATTTTCCTTTTATTTCCTTTTTGGATTCCTAGGGTTTCTAGGAACTTGAGGTAGTATTTAAACAAATGTTGGCTAAGGGGTTGTTATCCCTATTATCATTCAATAAAATTGAGGTTTTCTCAATTCTGGTGGATTCTAGGCTTTGGTTTTCTTTGGCTAATTGTTTGATTGCCTTTCGTATTATCATGCTGCGTCACAAAGGCGGTTCAATTAGATTTCAAGTGACGTCTTTAAGGTTCTGCAATCATACATAATAGCTTACCACCAGAATCATGTTTACGTTAAGGTCCAATCAATTAATCTTGTCATGTGATTGCAAACCAAGCATTTCTAGGGCTTAAGAAGCATCTTTGTTGACGGGGAACGTGGAGTAGTGGGTTGGATAGGTGGTATTTGATAATAGTCGTCTTAAGTTATTCAACATTTAAGTTTGCAGAAACGACAAAAAAAAACATTTGTATGGCAATAGCTCGCCAAGAGATTTTATCTTTGATCCCAAACTTTGTCTACTTTAGGCAACTCATGTACCACACTCATCAATCCATTATCTACGTTTTGAGTCAATCCTCAAATTGTAAGGTTTAAGTTATGCTGATGATAATTTGATGGAGCGTTATTTGGGCTCAACTTTGTAAGAGAAGGTTACGAGTTCAAATCCTTATATAAACGAGAGCTACATTACTTATGAATCAATATTTAAAAAAAAAGAAAAAAAAAGAAGAAGTGTTTTTGCACATCCACGGAGTAAAAATGGATGTGGAATAATGTTTATGAGATTGTTTGACCATAAATGTTAATTTAGAACATATTTAGGTCATAGAGATGACGATAAGGTGAAGGATGGAAAGGTGGTGTTTTAGTTGCACAACTTTTAATCAATCTTCCATGCAAATTGGAACTTTGATCCGTGGAATCACTTTGAGGCAGCCGTAAGAAATGATGAAGTATTATACAAAATGCAATTCAATTCCAAAAAGTACACCAATGCTTTAGGCTCTTAAAAAGGTTTACTGTTTATAGAAGTTTTCTAATGCGTATCTAATAAAAATATAGTCAGCTACCATTTGGTCAAAACAGTTCCAATAAAATTTGTAAAATAATAGGTGGAGGTCTGGTTCCCCCCATCAATATTCCCTTATTTATATGTATTTGGAACCCTTCCCATTCCATTATCTATCCTTCCTGCTCACAAACAAGAAAATCAATAGAAGGATAGAGGATATAAACATATACAGTAGCTAGAAAATGGCGAAAATTAGAGTGTCATATGTATTGGTGGCTCTATTTGTAGTTCTCATTTCCATGGAAGCCTCCATTGTTTTTGGACAAGGCAATGGAAATGCAAATGGCAATGGAAACGAAGGGAGTGGCAACGGAAATGTGAATGGAAATGGCAACAAAGGCAGTGGCAATGGTAATGCAAATGGAAATGGCAACACCGGCAGTGGCAATGGAAACGCAAATGGAAATGGCAATACCGGCAGTGGCAATGGAAATGCAAATGGCAATGGCAACACCGGTAGTGGAAATGGCAGCGGGAACAGGAGTGGCAACACCGGCAGTGGCAACGGTAACGGTAATGGCAACGGCAACACTGGCAGTGGCAATGGTAACGGTAATGGAAATGGCAATGTCAATGTGAACAGTAAGGATATTACAAACTACGACGTATTGCCACCACTATCATCGGGACAAGAGCAATGTCAATGCAAAGCATATACGGCCTGTTATTACAAGACCCTTGTGTGTCCAGCAGAATGCCCTCACAGAAAGCCCAAGAAAAACAAGAAACAAAAGGGTTGTTTCGTTAACTGCAGCAACAAGTGTGAAGTCACTTGCAAGTGTAAGCCATTTCACCCATTTTGTTTTCAATTTATCTGTGTTTATATATACAATTGTATAGACAACATATATATTTGAAACTTTTTTAATACTTAGTTCCTTGTTCTTTTGGCAGATAGGAAAGCCAACTGCAATGGATATGGATCTCTCTGCTATGATCCAAGGTTTGTTGGTGGAGATGGTGTCATGTTCTACTTCCATGGAGCCAAGGGAGGAAACTTTGCCATTGTTTCGGACGAAAACCTCCAAATCAATGCACACTTCATCGGGACTCGACCAGTTGGAAGAACTCGGGATTTCACATGGGTTCAAGCCCTCTCAATCATGTTTGACACACACACTCTTGTCATTGCTGCAAAGAGGGTCTCAAAGTGGGATGACAAAGTTGATGCTCTCATGGTAAGATGGGATGGTGAGGACATTAACATCCCTACCGATGGAGAAGCCGAATGGAGGACCAAGGGTGAAGATAGGGAAGTCATCATCGAAAGAACCGACGACACGAATAATTTAAGAGTCACTGTGACAGGGCTAGCAGAAATGGACATAAAGGTTAGGCCTATTGGAGAAGAGGAAAATAGGGTTCACAAGTACCAAATTCCAGCTGATGATACTTTTGCTCACTTGGAAACACAGTTCAGATTTTCCAATTTATCTGATCTTGTGGAAGGAGTTTTGGGAAAGACATACAGGCCAGGCTATGTTAGTCCAGTCAAGGTTGGAGTTCCAATGCCCATGATGGGTGGAGAGGACAAGTACCAAACTCCATCCCTCTTTTCAACTCTCTGCAAGGTTTGCAGGTTCCAAACTGCTACTCAATCTGATCAGTTTGCAATCACTAGTGGAGGAGTTGCTCAGTTCTGATAATGATCAAGAAAATTAAACACGGTTTTATTTATTTATTTCAGAAATAAAAAATGTTTCAATTGTATGTATCTGGTTTTAACTAACCATTTTAGCATTGTATTCATGAAATTAATAAATTAATATACAAATAAGGGCTGCAAATTAAGCTTGCCCAGGACATATTGCTAATTGATCAAATCTTTGTGCAGTATATATATATATATATATATATATATTTATTTATATTTTCTATCATGTTGATAAATCAGAGAATTAATTATGTTATTGACATACCAAACATGTCATTGGCTGAGCAAAATCACAGCCTTCATTTTGAGCTAAGGTCTTGTGAGTATAGAATCCCACGCAAGGAAGTCTGTGTAACAAAATAATAGATAAGATATCTTCGGCCTCTTTACTTATTGAGAATTGATTTTAAGTTGAATTCTCTAAAATTTCCACATATCCACCCCATGTTCTACATTTTCTTCAAGGCTAGGTGTGATGGGTTTGATTATAGCTCTATTTCAAGTGGTGACTATACTGCTCACTTAGACATATAGGTGGTTTTAGAGTTTTAGATGTTTTGGTTATGTGGACTTGGTTTGAGATCATGCTAAAATTTGGTGACGTACACTTTGTAATTATTTGTGCGGCTTTTGTCCGTTTTATTTTGTCTCTTAGAACTTGTCTGCTTTGTTGTCTTTGTGAGCTTGGTGCTTTTGCTGTGTTGTAGATGTATTGACTGTATTGTTGTAATTTATATATCTAATTAAATTTTTTATTTGGTTCCAAAGAAAACTTCATGTGCAAATAATATTTAGGGATGTTCGTTATAGTTCGAAACTAGTAAAACTGAATCCAATGTTTACTGAGTTGCAAATTCTGAGATATATATATATATCCAATCTAATCACGCTAGGATTAGCATCCAATTCCATTCAATCTCGTGCCAATTGGATTTGTTTGTTTTTTAGTTAGACAGTGTCAATTAAATTGGATACACTGAAAATGATCAATATTTTTTTAATGGGAGAAAAATATTGAAAAAAAAAATTTATCAGCAAATTATATCTAATCAGAAGTTCGGATAGAATTCAAACCGGATAGGTTTTGGTTTATTTGACATGTGCTATTCAAAGACACAAGCATATAATTCCTTGGTGGGGTGGCTTATTGATGACAGGAAATTTTGCAGAGGGTTAATGGTTGGTGCAAATGTTGTTGATCACCCGATGAGCTAGCTAGCTCGGTTTTAGTTTACTGGTTGACTCTAATATGCTTGGTTTGAGGAACCTCCCGATGTCTAACTCTAACATAATGTCCTTTTTAGTGATTGTAACTCTCTTTATAATCTCTTTTAATAAATATAATTATGAAATAAGAAATTAAGCCGGGTTGGTTTGGTCGGTTTGAAGAGATTGAATTAGTACACTATCCCTGACTACATTGCATATGATCCTAATATTTTTTAGGGTTTCCCTTGAGAGAAGAAGCGTATGTTGCTCTTGTCAACTATAATAAATTTTGAGTACAGCGTAGGAGTTAAGGCAACACAACTAGCAGATTGCAGTTGACCTTATTATTTAAGTAGGTCCTGTAGTCTTACATAACCTATTGGCAGTATAGTCGTACAAAATCATTTTACGTTAAATACCTAATTTTTCTTAAGTGAGGGATAACAGTCTTTAAGTGATTTCATATTGATTTGGAATTGGAAAAGAAAATAAAAACATATCTATGATAGTGCAAATTGCGCTCATTTAACCAAATTTTGTCAGAACACAACTATTTCATTTTAAGGAGACAAATACCTAAAACCATTGTCTATATTAAAATGCAAATAGTTATAAAACAAAAAGGAAACAAGATTTTATGTCCAACAAATTCGTTATAGATAAGGATAAAATAAAAAGTTTATTGACACGTGTGAGCGCATGACGAGAGGCTAAATATGATTTTATAACTAAGTCTATCCATTCCCTACCCAATATTAGAAGAGATCCCCAAATGCAAATACCTGCCTTCATAAAATTATATGTATATGTTTATAAAACAATTTGCACCATATTTACTAAACACGTCATCTAAAGGGGGCGAGACTCGCCACAATTACTCATATGGTTTCATTTATGCAAGTAAATCCACATATGAGAAAAATAAGGCTAGCAAAGTAATTGGTAAATGTGATATAGATCGCAATACTCAAATTGTAAATCTTTATTACATCTTTCACATGCAAATTGTAATATTTTGCAGGAGTCAAGCAATTTCCCCTAAATTATATTGCTTCGAGGTAGCCGAAAGAAATGCTCAGGTGAACAGAAAAAGAAAACAGGAAACGCTAATACACCATCAAATATGAAGCAATCGAGGAATATTTGAAGGTTCCTACAATTCTGAAAAAGCGTGTTGAGTCGTCTATCACAAACTCAAAGCTAATCCCAATGCTTAAGGTTCATAAAAGATTCCTTGATCGTGAAGTTTTGTATGGCATCTAACTATAAAATATACTCACAACCATTTGGTCAATAAAAATGAACCCATTTAAATCATAAAATAATTGCACACATTGCTGGTTCTAAGCTGTTTGATTACATGAAGAAGCAATGTGCACAAGCATCAAGCCGAATCCCAAGGCTTGGGTTCCCTCAACACTCCCTTATATATGTCTCTGAGCCCTGACCTTCCCATCCATCCTTCAGCTCAAGACACAAGTAAATTAACAGAAGGAGAAGAGAAGCATACACTAGCTTAGCCAGAAATGGCTAAAATAACAATGTCACATATATTGGTGGCTGTGGCTCTATTTGTGGTGCTTGTTTCTATGGAAGCTGCCTTGGTTATGGGGGCGGGCAGTGGAAATGGCAACGAAGCCGATGACACTGCTGTGGCACATTACGACGAATTGACACCACTGGAATCAGGGGAGGAGCGAGGTTTCTGCAAAGCAAAGGGGGCCTGTTATTACAAGACCCTTGTGTGTCCATCTGAATGCCCTCAGAGGAAGCCAAAGAAGAACAAGAAACACAAGGGTTGCTTCATCAACTGCGGCAGCAAGTGCGAAGTTACTTGCAAGTGTAAGTCATTTCACAAAGAAATAGATCATATGAGGAAACTTACTCGTCTATGACATAATTTATGAATCGGAATTATTAATCATGGGGGTTCTTATTTGAATGTATGGTCTAAATTGATAGTCTGACAGCATAGCATGTCATGTATCTAACAAAAGGACTAAATCATATTTATTTGGGGACTATTACTAAAGATTTGATCGTGATCTTTCTGTAGATAGGAAAGCTAACTGCAATGGATATGGCTCTCTCTGCTACGATCCTAGGTTTGTTGGTGGCGACGGTGTAATGTTCTACTTCCACGGAGCCAAGGGAGGAAACTTTGCCATTGTCTCAGACAAAAACCTCCAGATCAACGCACACTTCATTGGGACCCGACCAGCAGGAAGGACCCGTGATTTCACATGGGTTCAGGCACTGGCAGTGATGTTCGACACTCACACCCTTGTTATTGCAGCAAAGAGGGTCTCAAAGTGGGATGACAAAGTTGATTCTCTCATGGTAAAGTGGGATGGTGAGGCAGTAATCATCCCCGCTGACGGAGACGCGGAATGGAGGACGAATGGTGAAGACAGAGAGGTGATAGTCGAAAGAACCGATGACACAAATTACGTAAGAGTTACAGTTGCTGGTCTCCTGGAAATGGACATAAAGGTCAGGCCTATTGGAGAAGAGGAAAACAGAGTTCATAACTACCAAATACCAGCTGATGATACTTTTGCTCATCTGGAGACACAATTCAGATTTACAAATTTATCTGAACTCGTGGAGGGAGTTTTGGGCAAGACTTACAGGCCAGGTTATGTTAGTCCAGTGAAGGTTGGGGTTCCAATGCCAATGATGGGTGGGGAGGACAAGTACCAAACTTCGTCCTTCTTTTCTCCTCTCTGCAAGGTTTGCAGGTTCCAAAGACAACCTGAGCTTGCAGCAACTGGAGGAGTTGCTCAGTACTGATAATGATCAAGACTTAAAGATTAATAAATATTGTTTCTTGTTTTGTGCTCATTTTATATTTGTGTGTATCTGGTTTTGGGTAATTAATTAAGCATATTGCAGGCTTGGAAATTAATGAATAAACAAATAAGGGCTGCAAATTAAGCTTGCCCAGGACATTTGCTATTTTCCTTTGTGAACCTATATCATCATCATTTGATCACTGCAGCTTTTCACCAAAATTTGTGCACTCTTTTCTATACATCTAGGCAAATAGAGAATTAAACTATTGTAATCATGTATTGTGACTAACCTTGCTTGTAGGGATGACAACTTCCCCGCCAATTTGGGGCCCAAAGGCACCACCCTCATGGAACACGGATAGGTATAACATGACCCATGACCTGCCCCGTTTAACCGTTTATAGCACATAGGACCTTAGCCCAACCAATCTTGCATCTGAGAAACCCCGTTCTCAACCTAAAGTTCTGGCTTCAATTGCATCTAACTTACCCAAGCCTTCATCTATAGCACAATCTAGCAGGAACAACAATCCAGGACAGATAGGCGTCTGGTTTCTGTACTAAATAGGATCTTATGCATATGTTTCTTGTGCCGATATTGTGATTTGGTAAAAGACCAAGTGTTTAGGATTTGGGTTTAGAAATATTTATGATTTTACGTTGACATGTGTATCGTTTTAGGCATAAGCACAATATCAATGCATAAAAGGTATGCAGAGGATCCTCTAAGCAGGCACAACAGTTGTAAAATTGATCAGAGTGTTTTTCTAATATATTTGGGAATATTATTCATATTCAATACCATCCATGGCAATGACTTTATTCAACGACAGAGAAACTTGGGGATAACATTTTACCTATATCCCACAAGAAATTAGGAGAGCTAGTTAGGGAGCAATGTCTATTTACAGGAAGCTTCTACTGCTAAACTCTTTGCTACTCCTTTGCATGGGTCACCAAATGTATTAACTGAGACTTCAACGCTACAAGTCCTTGATCCAACGCAAGCCTGTGCAAGGTATCGCTTGTCAGTAAACCATTACAAATTAATCATAAGAAATAAGAGCTAAAAAATGGAGGTGCACAGAGTTTTATTAACATAGCAAGCAAGATCACACCTTCTGTACAACGGATAGAGCTCTATTGCTCTTGCACTGTCCATGGCTAAAGCTCCCACAAGTCCCATGCGGTTTTCCATAACTTGCAAACTTGATCGAAGAAATGACTTGATTAGGAAATGGGCACTCAAGTGAAAGCACAGGCCCTGACTTCCTTCCTGCTTTTGAATCTGAACTCCACATATCTACAGGTGACGGATGAGACTCTGATACATGTGAGCACAAGCTGTCAATCTGTCTTGTAGCAAAAGATATCTGCGTTGGATCACCCCCAATTTCCTCAAACAGGACAAGAGTATTGTCATTTGGTTTCAACCACGAACGGGGTACGTGGTACCTGTAGGAATAGTGACATCAGAATCAAAGTTTCAGTTCAAGTTTTTACCTTAGATTCTCTAGCACTTACAGTTCCTGAGATGGCTTGCCACAGTTCTTTCTGCACTTGTTTGAGTCATAAGGTCCTCTGTAATTGCAAGAGTCAGGGCAACCGCTAGTTGGAGAAATATTGGTCGGCCAGTATCGCCCAATGCTTTGTCCGTTCACCCATGCCTCACCCTTCCCCAGCCCTGTGAAGTCTATTGCAACAGGATTACTGCCATCAGGGGCATTAAATTTTGCCTGAATAAGAAAGAATATTTCTTTGGTTAGTATCTAAAAGAATAGAATCCTAGCATTCCTAGTAGCTGTTTTCCTAAAGCATGAGTAGCCTAGGCTTAAGGAAACCCACTTCACTGAGAATGCACCACATGCAAGCATGATAGTGCAAGAAAATACAGCATATGCAAATACCTAGCCTGACGGAAGTGTTAAATTCAGTTTTTGTCTCTGCAATTTCTATCCAAATTCACATTCTTTCCTGTAGTTCTAATTTCAACACATATACCCTTATCCATGATAATAATGCTACAAATTTACCTTGTACCACGTCAAGGGTTGTTTCTTGGGCAAGGTAGGTTGTGAAACCCATTGAGAAGAACTTCCACTGGGAAGACTATCTTCCCCTTTTAGTCCAATCTGCAGTCACAATGACGAAGGCAAAAGACAAATTGTTAAATTTCGGTGTTTTGATGGTAACAAACTGCTCATTCAGAATGAAGAACTTGGTTTTTTTTTTCCTTTTCAGTTTCCCAAATTTTAAGTTATTGGCCTGGGAACTGCAGCAAAATGAAAATTAAACAAAAAGGAAGAATGACCTGATATGTCCATTGCTGAGATGAAAGGTCAATAGTAGTGCCGTTTTTCAAGCCTTTCAGCCGTACAGGACCAGTGATTCCAGCACCTGTCTTGTCAAAGAAAGCTCCATAGTTCTGATTGAAAAATAGGTACACAAAAGATATTACTCAGTCATATATTGACCTTAAAGAATGGAATTCGTTCTGCAATGATAGAATAAGATATAGATGAAAGTTTCTTATTAAATGCGTGTACTGAAAGCAAAAACATTAAGGCCAAACCTGAAGCCCAACAGTCAAACTCAAAAGATCTATTGTGTTCTTCCCAGATGCAAATGTGACAGGGATATCCACAGAAACCTTGGCATTGTTACCGTTTCCTGTTCCACTCCCTGAAAGGAATTCAAATAAAAGAAAATTACAAGACTAAAAAAGAAAAAGGCTCAAACAGTTGTAATAATTCAAGCTATGCGTGTATTTACTTGTCAAGAACTCATTTATATTTGAAAATCCACAATTGCAAAGTCTGAACCTTATCATCAGGCTTTTGTCTTAGTATCTAATCTAATGTACTACAGGAAGCTTTTCCCGAAAAGCAAGAAATATAGGACTGCTATATTTAAGATCAAATGGAGCCTAATGAGAGAATATTTTGAAAGCTTCTTTTGCAATACAGTTAGCAGAAACTATGTTTAATGTCCTTAAAAGTCTATAAACAGAATAGCTTGGGGGATATAGAACTTAGATTGGTCAAGCAATGTCAGGCTAGCATTCCAATTAGTTTTAGAGTAAGATAAGATACATCAAATCAACAAAGAAAAGGTCTAACATCAGAGTGTATCTACAAAGACAAAGAAGGATTTACAAACTTGAGCAAGCATGGCGTTGACCTTGTTTTGACTAATAAATATGTTTGAGAAAGGCAATTATGACTCATTCTTCCACCCCAAATTTCAGAGGATTCCTATTGGATTTGCAGCCCTTGAAGGCATCTCCAAAGTACAAAGGTTTAGGGAAAATGGAAATGGGGTTTCCTTCACAATTTCTAAAGACAATGTCAACTTCTATTTGCCAGTGCAACTAAAGTAGCAGCCGGATTACCACCAAGGGCATGAAGGCCAAGCAATCGACTTGGAACCAAATTAAATTATTTCATTCATACCTGCAAGCTTTCCATTAATAAATGCATGCAGGGCATGGCCAAGTGATTCCACATGAAGAACAGTTTGAGATCCATCTTGAAGGAACGTTTCAGAATTTGTGACATCAATGCTGCAAAATTTGTTTAGAAAAGGGATTTCAGTCTTGAAAGAAAGAAATCAAGACAACTGGCTGAAAGGCAATAAATACATATTAAGAAAGCATCCATGGATTGCATACCTTAAAGAGTACCATAGATAGTCACTTTTATCAGCTGTTGTGTTTATTTGCTCCAATAATCCAACTCTGGTAAATGCATCATCCTTTGAAATACCCACTGGTTCATTTATCCAACTCCAGCCTGAGCCCAAAGCTTCAGAGGAATCAACGTCATCTATCAACGATTGATGCATGAAGCTTGGAATCATGGCAGCAGAGTTGATCTGTAATGATAATGTTATATACTTTGCTTATGAGACTGTTACAATGAAAGAGAAAAACAAGACACGATTTGACCTTGCTACTTATGAAGAATTTAAAAGAAAATGTTTACATTCTACACTTCAGCTAATAAATATAGGTACTTTTCTTCAATTACAAGCAAACACAAGTGAAATAGAAGCTAAGGAGCAAACCTTTGCAGTGTTAAGCACTACATTTTTGCAATCTGGTAAGATGCTCACAGACCACGCAGGCAAGTGATATGAGTTGCCATTGAACGTCACAGTGGCATCAGATTTGGTGTCATAATTGGCAAGAAAAGCAGCACATACCGATCCTGTTTTGTAAACAGTTGCCTGAAGATGTGATAAAATAAAATTAAAAAAATACACGTTAATAAATAAAATCACATGTTGCGGGGGCATTGACCTAGACCAATGGAATAAGACTTCACTTCAGATAGACAAAGCATACAGATGAAGACTGGAAGCTCTATGACCTCTATTATTAGATTTTTGAGATCTCGAAGAACAAGTTTTGGATCCAAAACTATAGCACTGTTTACTAGGCACGATTTTCAGATCAACATTAAGGAAGTTCATCTAAACCCTTCAGATACGACAGATACTTCCTCTTAGATACTCTAACAAGAATAACTTGTAAGTTCAGATACAACAGATATTTCTTCTCGGATATTCAAACATCAACAACTTGTAGTCTATGTTACTCCATTCCACTTATAAGTATGGGTGCCAAATCCCACACTAGATATGGCTGAGCATTCACCTAGACTGGAGGACGTTGAGCCCTAGAAGTTTATGTAAAAACTATCATCATACCCACGAATCAGGAGAAAAAGGATACTTTGTAAAACTGAGAAAAATCATTATACCTCCAAGTTTGGACCACCAACAGAAACATTTTTTGGGTCAGTGGCCACGATTGCTTCTTCACAAAGCTTTATGGCCTTATGCACATCTTTTAGGTGACCCCACTTAGGTTGTCTAAGAAGTCCTGCAACAGACATGGAAAAGGTGAATTGATTACTGATGACACATCTATGATATGTGCACTGATGTTCTTAATTATTATTTTTTTCTCATGAAAATGACATCTTAACATTATAAGTATTGTCTGTACTCCAAGCATCAGGTTGACCAAAAATGCCAGTTCATTTACACAGCACCAAAGAGCACAAGTTTTATATAAATACAATTAGCAGACAAGCCTACAACATCAGCAGTAGTAAAGCGATAATATATGGCATACAAGACAACATACCATACTCATCAATTGGAGCATCATAGTCATAACTTGTAGCAATAAAGGGTCCACCAGTACTCCGCCCAAAGTTAGTGCCACCATGGTACTGTTGAAGAGCAACAAAGAACAAATCACTTCATCTTTTCCTGGTTTTAGAAACTCAAATGTTAATAAACTCAAGATACAAGCAGTACCATGTAATAGTTTTGGAAAGTTCCACCTCGCTGAAAGAAGCGTGCTACAGCAAATGCGAGGTCTTCCACTGGTCTCTGAGGTACAGCACCACCAAAGGATAGAAACCTAGTGATCATGAATGTTTGAAGGTTGCAAATAAAAGAGCAATCGTATAGAAAGAATATAGGTGATACCAGCAACCAATTCAAATTTACACAAGACTAGTTCAAAATGTAATAGGATAGGTCAGCATGTTACCATCCACTCCAATTCTCAGTCCACATTTTGGGTCTCTTGTCAGGAAGTTTTGGGGTCCATTGATCACAGTAAAATCCATTGCAAGTGCTGATCTGTAAGTAGTTAAACGCAATGCAAGTAGAGCAAAGGAAGCATGGTGAGAATGCTGCATTTATACAAGGTCAATACAATACAAATGGAAAGTCACTAAGACAGTCTTACCACAGAAGCAGGAGCATCGTCTTGCTGGCACATGACCCAGGGCACCCCTGTATCCAAAGCCACAGCCATGCTTGCTGCCCAATTAATATACTTCTGGGCAGCAGGCCCGTATGCTTTATCAATGTTTCCATACTCGTTTTCAATCTGGCATAATGGAAATAACAATCAACATCCTCTAAAATCTAACAATTACCAGATTGAGTGAAATACTAAAACATATATATAAATATTAAACCTGGGATAAAATGATGGGTCCACCCTGAGATGCATAAAGTTTCTCCTCCTTCATCATATCAACAATTTTGGCTGTAAATCGTTGCATCTCTGCCTGAATCACAGATATTTTCATAAATTAATTAATGAAGTTGAGAAAATACCAAGATGAAAATAAAAAGAAGCAGGCAATTCGCAATTGAAACCTTGAAAGGCTCATTGTCAGTTCGCAATTGAATTCCAGGAATAAAATGCAACCAAAGAGGAAAGCCACTGTTCAAAAGTTGAAACAAAAACACAATTACACAATAAATTCCGCAGAAATACTAAAATAAGTAAAGTCATCATAAAGCAACTTCCTTTTTATTCCCAAAGAACAAAAAGGAAAGGAAATTGAATAAAAATCCGTACCCGTAGTTCCATTCTGCGCATACATAAGGACCAATTCGAAGATGCACATAAAGACCAGCTTGTGCTACTATCTTCACAAATTTAACCAAATCTTTTCGTCCACTAAAATCATACTGCAAAATGGATTTTGCCAATCACCATCATAACAGAGACAAAATGCAGCGCCTTCAAGAATAAACATCGATAACCCGAGAGAGAGAGAGAGAGAGAGAGAGAGAGAGAGAGAGAGAGAGAGAGAGACAAAAGAACTGTTTGGTTTGGTTGCTAGGAAAGCTAAAAATATAAATATTAAAATGAACAATAAAATTCCCGGTATCATGACGAGTTCTTTAGCTTTTTTCTTTCCTGACAATTAACAAGAAAAGAACAAACTTCAACATGGCTAAAAACAGTAGTGTGGTAATTGGTATTAACATTGTTCCAACATTTTCTCAGGCAACTAAACGCCGCCGTATTGGATTTGAAGAACTCATGAAAGGCAAGAACCAAGAACCATTAATGTGATTACAGAGAGAGAGAGACCTGGCCACGAACTGGTTCGTGAAAGTTCCAGAAGACGTAGGTCTCAATGACATCCAAGCCTCCGTCCTTGGATTTCTGAATAAGGTCCGGCCACATCTATATACACACAGAGCAATTCAGAGAGAAAATAAAATAAAAATATAAATATAAAATTTTTTATAAAAAAAACAGAGACAAAGAAAAAGTACATCGGGAGTGCTTCGAGGATAGTGAATGGAGCCAGAGACCAACACTCTGCGCTTGCCATCAATCACCAGCGCTCTGTGATCGTACGTCACAGTCGCGCAATACGACGCCGTCGCCAACACTCCAAGCACCAAAACCACCACCACTTCAATCCTCAGCTCGCTTCCTTTCATCTCCGTCCTCAAAACACTTGTGCGTTTTGTGTTCAATATTTATTACAAAATTGATTTCTGAAAAGCAATTTCTTCAAGCAATGATTAAGTGAAAACGGTTTCTTGCTGCATTTGCTTTGCTATGTCTTAATCTGGATTCTTTGTTTCTGTCTCTGTTTTGATTCGCTTGGCCGCTTCCTTAAAACAACGCTTGCAATCAAAGCGGTGACGTTTTGAAGAGCGTCATCAGTGTCGTCGTCGTCTTCGTATTCTTCTTCTTCTCTTCTGCTGCTGCTTCTGCTACTCGCTAATCAGTTATTAACTATCTATAGCTGTTTTGATAATGAGCGCCTTAATGCTGTCAAAGCTAGAAAAAGATCAGGTGTTACGAGGCGCAGGGGAAGATTGGTGTGCCACGTCGGGTCAGTTGTTGTTGGACGGAGACGCGTAGTAATAATTTCTTTTGAGACAGGTGACGGAAGTTTTTTTGTTTTTTTGTTTTTTTGTTTTTTTGTTTTTTTTAACTGCAGGTGATTCTTACCTTGTCGGGTTAGAATTTAAGAAAAATGGATTAGTAGTGGTAATTATGGTGAAAGTGTGGCTAATGTGAGTGGTTTTGTAATTTAGTTGCAGGTGAGCGGGAGCTGGCGATTGGTTTGGTTTGGTTATGCGTTTGTTGCGTGTGAACGCTGGGACTTGAGTCAGAGAAAATCTCGTGAGGGAGAGATATGGGTAAGTAAGCCTATCTGATTTTTATTACATTATTATTATATTTTTTTTTTTTTTTTTTTTTTTTTTCTTTGCTCTATATGATAAGGTGGATCGAACTCGGATATAAGAGTACCGACACACTAACTGGGTCTATTGGCTTGACCTAAATCTGCAAATTTAAATTGTTTTTAGTGTATTTATTACATTAGTTATAATGTCATTAACACTTTGCCACTTTTTGCAACATGGTATTGGTGGTCCCTTAGGTCATGGAGGTGCTAGGGTGCTACTGCTCACGAATTTAGTAACGACTTTGCAGGCATCTTCTTTTTGTGATTCTAGAATATGAAATCATTAGTTTGCAAGTTAAGACCCTATTTACTAAGCTAAACATTCCGTTAACTGAAAATTTCTAGTTTCCAATAACCAGTTGATGAGTTTTATGAGCAGGATATACTATATAGAACCGAGCTATGACAAGCTGGATATAAATTATTGTTGGAATATTATAAAGAAATTTAGAATGATATGATAAAGAGCTGGCAAAGAAGAGGACAGATAAAGTGATGAGTCTGATATATTCTTTCATGTAGAAGCAGTGTGCATGCATAATAATGATAATCTAGTCTAAATTCCACCGTGACCGGCCCACTCCCTTGACGGTTGTCGTCATGCAGGACTTTGTAATTTTTTGAGATATATAGTCATATACTCATTCTTAGCATTAAAACTATAAATAAACTTTACACTATTTAATTTCTATAAACAAAACCAAAAACACCCAAAAAATGAAAGTTGATCCTATTGAATTTAATTTTTATCATTAAATTACTTTGATGCCCTATTGAGTATTTTGGGTTTTTTTATGAGGTTTTGGGGTTGGATTTATTTTAAGAAATAAATGGCAGTTTTGTAATTTAAAAGAAATTAAAAGCCTTTTTGTTATGTTGTAAATGGACTTTGGATGTGTTTCTAAAATCCATTTCATATAGAGTTTTTTTAATTATAATTTATGTTCGTATATTAGATATAATAGTAAATCTCCCTAATTTTTTTATGACACAAGAGAAAAGTGAGTCTCGTCTCAATCTCATGCACGACTTTGAAAACAACAAAGGTTTGCAGACAAATATCATTATCTGCCCCAATGTCACTACAGAGAACAATTTGCCTTTCTTCCACCGGTCTTAATCTATACTATTTACTCAATTGATATATGTATAAAATCGAATTTGCGTCGATATCATAAATTAGAGTATCTTGCATCATCCATATCATTTGTATTATTTGTTATTTTAAAAAAAGTATCTTTCATTCATAATTCATATTATTTGTATTATTTATTTAATTGTTTGTTGATATGTATTTTTGTGTGTGTCTTTTTAATTAATATCCAACTTTAACTTTAGCATGGACTGACAGTCAGTGACTTACAGCCTTCAATTAGAGAAAAATTTACTAGTCACGGGTTTATACTTCTTTCCCTTTTCATTTGTCTCTCGTATTAGGAGAGAGATGAAAATTAAAGGAGGTATGAAACGGATCCAGCTAAGTTTTTCTATCGAAGTCATCTCAATGCCGACAGAAAACTAAGGCGTACACATTTGAAAAAAAATTTCTTTTTTTGCTTGCTGCGATACATTTGAAAAACATTGAATGGGTGGTTTTGTAACATTATTGTTGAGTGGAAGGTTCATCATTCGTAGCTTGTGAGCTGCCCAAGCTTGCCGGGGCATACGTCCTGTGTCAGGCTCCAAATAGATTCTGCATGTTCTAATTTAGCATTTCTTTCCTCTACGCATGCATGTCCGGATGTGATACATGCCTGCCCATGGTACCCAGCTAGCCTTATCAAACATCATGACCATTCTTCCTTGCTTGAGAAAAAGAAAAAGAAAAAGAAGACACTACTGCAATGCAAACCACCTGTAATCCACACCATGTGCGCGCCCAGCTTACCTAACAAGTGACGGACAGAAAGCATATTGATAGCCTAAGGTTGGAGAATTTTTTCGGTTTAAGCGGTGGATCACGTCACTTGTCGGAGCACAGAGGATTCTTTCATGAAAACAATAAGTTCCTCTTATTTGTGTGTAGTCGTATGGGTGACGTTGAATTTCGTCTAAAGTAGACTAATCATATTACTCATATAGTTCTAGTACCATTAATTGTCATGATTTACCACCTCAATGGTTGTCACGGAGCTAGATTGGTACATTTGAGGGAGGGGGAGAGGATTTTTTAACTTTTGTGAATTATTACATAATATATGTTAAATGATTAAGGAGTTATGTAGAGCATGGGAATTCAACATGGAAAATACTAGCCACATTGGGAGTTATTCAAATTCTTTATTTCAACATTCTCATGTGTGTCTCATGAATCGATAAACTCATACATGGCACGTTCTCTATCAGAGAGTTTGTGTAAGAGTTGTTGGTGTGTATTTCTTACCCATATGGCTCACCTATTTATAGGGTTGGGATTTTGGACCCGAAAAACTAAAAACTAAAGGTAATCAACTGAGTTTTGATGTCGGTCAACTCACATTGACCAAAAAGTCAATGCCAGTTTGGTATAACAGATTGAACCGCCCAAGGTTGAACACGGTGGCGGTACCCGATACGTCAAACCGGTGGTTACCAAACCGAACCGAACTGATATATATAATATTAATTATTTTAAATACATGTGTCAGCTTATTACTCGTTATAATAGCCGATTCTAAGAGTTTAGAATGTAGTCGGCTGTATTGAATCAATAATTTTTTCCCCTCCCTTTAGTATCATCGATTCGAAAATCCAAGCCATCCCCAAACTAAAAATCTTAAACCTCCAACCTCTCCTCCTCTCAAATCCATCTATATCGCCTCCACCATCGATCAAAACCTTTGCAACTTCTCATTTTTCTCGATCAAAACCTCTAAAAACCTCTCATCTCTCTCAATCGAATCCTTTGAAAAATCTCTCATCTCTCTGAAATCAAATCCATAAACTCTCTGAAACCTCTCACCTCCATCGTTGTTGTCTCTTCTTCTTTGTCGCAGAGTAAGTATTGAATAGCGTTTCAATTTGAATTTTCTGCTACATTAGGGTTTCAATTGAGGGTTTTTACTAATTTTAGGGTTCTGATTTGCCTAGAAACCCTAAAAAGCATAAAATTTAGCTTTAAAATCTCTCTCAAATTGGGCTTAAAAATGGTCACGAATGGCCCAAAAAGTTCCCAAAAAACTGGGCTAAAAGCCCAAATACCCTCATCAATGATTGGCCCATTACCGAATCGGACCAAATGTCGTAATTGGTGATACTGAAAGTCAATAAACCGCCTTTGTCGACGGCAGCGACAATTGTGATTTTCCCATTGTAGTTCGAAGCGGTTCGGTTACTGATTTGACTAGATCAGTTCAATTACCGAACTGAACCTAGCACTGCCTATTTCACACAAACTTGGAGGATCGCATTTGTGAGACTCTATGAAAATCCATTAACCTTTAATAGAGGTGATTATACACATAATAGTTTGGATTAGCATCTCTAATATTCAGAGGCCTTTTAAAAAGCACAAGTCAGCAACATGCATATGTCGGTTGTTAGATGAACTACATAAAATTAATAATGTTTCTGTAAAAGCACAAGTACCGCTCACATAATTCTTCTAGAAGCTGTCCCTTCTCAAGGAGGAACATATCAAGTATTTTTCCAAGAACTCAAAATAAACATTGCTTTTGGCATTAATTTGCACTTTTACAGAAGCTAACTGAAACTCCTGGTTTGATGAAACATAACACATTTCCTTGGTTTGGAAATAGTGGTAAACCAGTATACATTTTTCAATTGCATGAGTAGGAGATGTTCAAATTTATCATAAAAATTAAACACGAAAATACTTCCTTTTTTTCCTGTAAGTAGAAACTCCTACTTTTCTACCAAAATAGTTTGATATATATTTTTGATGAAGTATTTATTCATATATATCAAACTGTAATTTGCAGAAAATAGGAATGCAACTGTTTCTAATTATATGCGTATTGACCTTAGATGCCTAGCTAGGGTTGGCCTACTCGGAAAAATGAGATGCTTTTTGTTTTTGGGCGGTGCAGACGTGCGGCTAGCGAGTGCCATATAAAATGGTCCAACTCAATTGCCAAAAGCTACTTAGATATACCAAATATATACCACTAATATCCAATCCAAATCAACCACTTCAAAGTAAATTAAGCCACCAAATAATAAGGGGATTGACACTTGTTCATATATTTGCTCGTTTAAGTACTCTCACGAGTCACCCTATTTCTAAAGCTAATCAATAATTTGATACCAAATCCCATTACTAAATGAAGACACTGTTGACCTCATACATTTTGGTTATCCCCAAAGGAGTAGGCACAACGCACTATTTTGATATAATGGGTATCTCACAAGAAATAAAAATGCAACTATTGTTGTGGATGAATTGTTCTGTTTATACTTTTTTTATTTCCCTTAAAAACGATATATTGAGAGAGAGAGTTTCGAACACATGAATCGGATATAAAGGTAATCGCTCTTAATCACTTGAGCTACAAACCGTTTATTGGTTTGTTTATATATTTTAAGCTGTTATTATGCCCCATGTTTGAAATTTCCATTTCCAAATAATAACCTAGTGGTGGATTTGGATACTTGGACAAAGTTCGAATGATATTTTTGGAGGAGGACAATATTACATGATTGTGGTAGCAATGGTGATTAAGGATACCACGTGATAAGTTTGGTGTGACATTATTGTAGTGGTTAAGATTTAATTTTGGTATGAGTGGTGGTTGAGTTTTAGATGGTGATGGTTTCTATTTAAATCTATCTTTGATTTTTTAGGGAACTAGGGGAGTGGGGACAATAATGACACAGGAATATGTTGCTGCCACAAACAAGCACATTGACAATTTGACATAATTACATGCCTTGTACTATTTTTAGCATTGTGAAAGTGTATAGTGACATATTAACTGATGTGGGGTATGTTAGATTAGTTGACTAAAACAGTATGTTCGTATCTTGCACTCGAATATTATCAATTAAATCACACATCTTGATATAATTTTACCTAATCTATGGTTACAACCTAAACCTAATGTATCGTACTGTTTGGGAATAATTCTATCTACAGATTTGTAATGTATAACAACAAACCGACACATCAAAAACGACCTACCTAGGCTGTGTTCAGAGAATTGGTAGGTAATGGAGTCTCGAACTCCAAGGTCATGAGGGCTGGGCCAAAGCACTAATAGTAATGGGTTGTGTACGTATGAGAGATAAGCAAGGTAGCTCTGCTTGGGTTTGCCAAACTAATCACTAGATGAATTGATTTGATACAATTAGGCTAATCATTTTGTATGTGTTACAGATCTCAAGTGGATCTTCTTTGCAATGTATAGTTTTTTTTTTAGTACAAGTGATAATTTAAATTAGGGAGGGGGATTTTTCACACATACAAAAAAATGATATCATAGGGGTTCGAACTTGAGATTTCTTGTCTACAAATCGAACTTTTTTTTCTTTCACTGAACTAAACCCCGTTGGCGTAATATATATATTTTTAAAAGGCCAAATCTTGCTTTAGTCCAGTAACATTTAGACTATACTTTATCGAGAATCCTGATAATTGACACCGTGGTTGAAGTAATATGAACTTTGCCATACGCGGTTTAAATCGAAACAAACTGCACTATGCCAAGCTTACTTGGTAATGTGGTAATGAGGGGCCAGGCCCAAGAATAAAACGCACCGTATTGGGCTGTGTACGTACCTCACCTTCTTGAGGCCTCTGAGATCGAGAAAACAGGTGCTTTTCACAAATCACAATCAAAGCCCCAAAACAAAACCATTTTCCAGCCCACGATTTTATTCAAAACACTTGCAGCAGAGGGAGCTCCCGAACAATGGCGACGCCCAGAAAGGCCACAACACCAAAGAAGAGCAAAGAAACAAAGAAGCCGAGCAGCAAAGCCATTACACCGAAGAAAACCCAAGAAACAAAGAAGCCAAGCATCAAGAAAACCCCAGAAACAAAGAAGCCCGGCACCAAGAAAACGATCAGCGACAAGAACCAGACCAGCAATGGCAATGTGAGCGACTCCGACGTAGAGGAGATTCCATCGTCGAGCTCCGAGTCCCTGAAAGACACAAAGCAAAATGGGGGTAAAATTACGAAAATGCCCACCCCGAAATCGAAGCAGAGCAACAAGAAACGAAAGCAGAAGCAAGAAGAAGAAGAAGAGGTCGAAGAGAAAGAGGAGGTGAAGTCGTATACGTTTCCGATGGAGCGCGTTAAGAGGATTATCAGAAGCGAAGATTCGGAGATGCGCATTAGCCACGACGCCGTTTTCCTCGTCAACAAAGCCACTGTATTCTCTTCTGCCTCTCGATTTTAGTATTTAGGGTTTCGATCTTTATTTTATTTTATTTTGTTTATTATTAAATATTTTTTAAATTCTGTTGCAGGAGAAGTTCCTTCAGAAGTTTTGTGAAGATGCACATGCTTGTTGTGTTAAGGATAGGAAAAAGTCTCTTGCTTACAAGCACCTATGTATGCAACTTCTCTTTCTCACTCTTTTTATAAATTTAATTTTGGATTTAAATCAAAGTTTCACTTTTTATTTTGAATCTGTTTGGAAGTGACAAGTAGCAGTAGTTTGTCTGTGGTTAGGGCATTGTTATGAGTACTGAACATTTGGATCAAATTGGTTCAATTTTTCTGGTTTATAGCTTTGAAATGATATTCAGAATTTTTCTCAAATGTGATACTGCTATTGCATTCTCATGGTTTGGTTCATCATTTGAGGTATTGTTTTACATGCTCAAATAAAAATGGAAATCGGGTTAGCATCTCGTTTTCCTCGTGAATGTAGCACCTCTCCATTTGGAAAGGAATGGAGAGTACGGACCCAGGGGGGAGTTCAGAATGACCTCTGACTTGTCTTGCTATTGTTAATGTCCTTAATGGCCATCTTTACTAGGTTTGTGATGAATTTCGCGGGCAAGTTAACGACAGGCATATGTTTTGTGCATAAGAAAATGGACACCAAGTTTTACTGTTAGAAGGAACAATGTTTTTATGTAGATTGATCAATGTAAAACAAGCATTCGACAGCTTGAAAACTTAGAGTGGGTAAGTCATGTGCAGAATATTTTGTTAAAAGTGAAGAACCTCTCATTTGTTTTGTTATTTCCTTTGTTTGTTTGCATTTTCTGATAGTTGCATTTGTGTTTGAAAAAGCCCTCTGGCTGCCGCACTAAAAAGTTTTTCCATTTTAGAGTTAGACTGTGCAGAGCTTATCAATGGAACCTAATCTCATCCATTTACTAGAAACTGATTACTAAACTTCGCTTACAAGTTCTTACAAATGGTGTCGACAAGGGAAAACTAGTTCCTGAAAGATAATTATTATCAGAATCTTTCGAGCTAAAACATATGAGACATACAGGCCTAGTTGCTTATTGCAGGTTATGTTAATTCCCAGTCATAATAACATGCTTTCTTCTTGTTTCAGCCTCAGTTGTTTCTAAACGAAAGAGATATGACTTTCTTTCAGGTATCTTTTAAGCTTCAACTCATTGCTCTGATAGTTAAATATACGGTATTACTCTGCCTTAATTTATGTTGCCTGATGCATAACCAACCATGTGCATAGATTACGTTCCTGAGAAAGTAAAAGCGGAGGATGCATTGGCAAAGAGAAAATTAGCCGAAGCAAAAGCGGACTAGGAGTTTCAGAACATGCTAAATCGAGGCCACTAAGAAATTTTAGGCTCTGTATAATGTATTTTAGATACACTTGCTGTATGAAAATTTTGTGTTTTTAGGCGTCTTCCATTATATGGCAAGTGAGCTGGGAAAGCAGCATTACCTTAGAGAGCAGTCAAATGTGTAATTGTTGCTAGTGATTGCTAAACCAGCAGTATTTTGAAAAAAAAAACATCTAGTCCACATTTCCAATATTTCAGAAATTTTCAAATAAATGGGGAAAGATATCATGGTAGGTACTTTGTCCTGAGAACAACTGATATGTCTTTTATGGTTGCGTGGCCATGAATTTCATTTATTCATCATGCTTGAATATAGGATTTTTGTGATGGCATATGCCACAATTGTAGCTGGTTGCCCCTAACTTGTCATTTAGTACACTTTGAAAATAAAATTTTCTGTAAGAGAATCATTCTGTTAGACACGAAACCAAACCAACAAGCATTCATATTCAAAACCATATAATGAAATGACCCATACTGTAAAAGAACATTTCTGTTATGTACACCAATGCAGTCAAATTTCAAGCAAAGAAGACGCATATTGTTTTATTTTCACCAAGGTAATCATTACAAAAGTAGATTCTCATAAGTTACAAGGATAATGAAAAGACTGCGCCCCCGAGGATGCAAAATAATGGCATTTGTACATGTATTGTTCTATGGATAATTTTCGGTCACCATTAAGTGAGCATTGTGAGTTGTAAGTTGTAAACCTACTCTAGCAAAAACCGAAAAAACACCACAATTATAACAAGTGCATCTCTATCTACGCCTCTCTATCCCTCTTATCTAAAAGAGATCGTCGTTGATTACCTTGAGCTAGATTACGCCCTCTGTGCATAGCCATTGACTAAAATAAACTCGATGAGCCGGTATGCATTTACATGATAATCTGAAGGCACCAAGTCGTTGGAAGTGGCATAATTACAGGTTCAAACAGAGATTCAGCTCTATGGAAGGTATCCCAATCGACTGCTTTTTGACATTTCTTTGAAATTAAAAACACCGCCTTTGCTTGTCAGTGATTGTTGGTCCTTTGAACTAGCACCTAGCAGAGTTTTTGAGTTGTTCGATTTACTTTCAGCCAATGGCTTGCTTTTCGATGATTCTGTGTAACCTTTGCCCATGAGGGGTTGGTCCTTTGAACTAGCACCGACCAAGGATTCTGAGTTTGATTTACTTTCAGGTTCGCCTGGTCTCTTCCAAATTTTCACATGCCCTTCCCAAGATGCAGTGAGAATTGCTTCCTCTGTGAAAACTAAGCCAGATAGGGGCTCAGAATGAACGCAGTGTGCCACTAGTGGGGAGAGCTTTGGAACGTCCCGCATGCTTGGAGCAGGTTGAAGAGTGCCAACTGGACAAGTGCTGTCCCAATGGGATGACTGGCTACCGGTGCTGAACGTTGGAGATCCACCAAGTGAACTCCGGCGAAGTGGCACTACAATCTCATCCATAGGCAAGTCCCACAGGAGCAATTTTGTGTCCTGTAAACATGTGTATAAGTGGTGGAAGTAGCATGACAAGCAAATAACATTGGCACAGTGTCACATCATAGAAGAAAATATTTCATGGACCAACATTAGGCTAAAAAATAAATCATGTCCCAGATTATGTCTTTGATTCCAGCAAATTTGTACAGCCATGATTGCAGACCAAATATTTTGAAAATCCCACACCTAGCTATTGGAGTTAAATGTCTCCATTGTGGACAAAAAAAAAAAAAAAAAAAAAAAATATAACTATAATATAATTTGATACTAACCATCACGAGAAAATTGTGATAGAATGTGTAGCTTAGCAGGGTGATGGGGTGGAGTTGGAATGATATAAAATACTATAGGCTGATAAAGATAAGCTCTTAACTGATTTGTATTCTTAAATAAGCTAAGCATGGGATCTCAGCATTGACTTTTGGGGGGTTAGAGAAGGGAAGAAAAGCAAATACCTGACCCACAGAACCAAAACGGTAGACAATATTTTCTTCTGTGTCATCTGAACTTGGTGGTGACCAATATGAGTCAAAAGCCACACCACTAACCTGCAAACATTAAGGCTAAAAGGTGTAAGATTTCCATGAGTTATGATAAATGAAAAAGAGGGAGGGAGGGAGAACTCAAATTAATATGCACAAAGTTCTGCTGAAACTGTACCCATGAGTTGTGCCCTTCACCCCAAGCTACTACCTTTCGATCTTCCATGCTCCATACTGTAACGAGATCCTCTTCCCCTCCAGTCAAAATGTATTTCTCATCAGGACTGAGAAACAATGCGTAATGAAGGTCAAATAGGAGCATCATAAGGCGTAATTCTTTATGACAAATATCACTAATGAAGGCATCATGTGATACACAAGGGTTTAGACTTGATAGAGCATAATTCAAATGTCAATGAAAATTTTATAAAAAAAATATCTTTTTACCTCCAGGCGCAACAAAGAAGAGCACCATAGTAACTCTTGCCACCGAATATTAGTTGTTCTTTTGAGTAGTCAAATACTCGCAAGTAGCCTACATATAGCACCCAACATCAACACCAATTAACAGATGCACTCATCCATAAAGTCACAAGCCTAACAGATAGAGAAATACCATCTCTACCAACTGTTGCCAAATATGTCCCATCTGGTGAGTAAGCAATGCTGTTTACTGAACCTTGGCAAATATGCCATCTGGAAATTGGATTAATCTGGATAAAACATAAAAAGGAAAAAAAGGTGAAGAAAACAAGAAACCCCAAGGAAGATGGTCAATAGTTCTATATTTGGTTCTTGAAGGAAATACAAAGTTCCAATTTTGATTAGCCATATGTGAGTATTGTAGAAGCAGCGACAACAAAAATGTTGGTTATAATGGCCAACAACAGTACTAATATGATCTAGACCTGAAAATAATAGAGTGATCTTTAAAAGCCAAGGTTTTACATAAGCAGCAAATATGCATAACAATGAACTACTTAATACATGCAATGAAATTTTAACCATTTATATTACCTTACTGGATCTTGAATGAGACACCGAAAATTGAGTATGATCCTTTATAACAGGGAAAGAAGATTCAGCAGCACTATCCTTACTCTAAAATAAATTACACTGATTTTAGTTTATGTAGTAGAACAAGAGAAACAGTGAAACCAGACAAGAAGAAAATAGCATTTAGAAAAGAAAAGCCGAAGGTTAAGGCTTGCCTTCTCATACACGTACAAGTTTCCATCAGCATGAGCAGCAACAAAAACACCGTTGCCTTTGGGAACCCAAGCAATACTGGTACACCGACTGCTAAAAACAAGTAGTTAGTTTGTGTGGGCCCAGTGCCCCCAATTACACAAAACAGAGAGAGTGCTAAGCATATTCCATCCAAACTCAACAGACAGAGTGCTAAGTACATTCCAAGAGTGCTTAGTTATCACAATTTATACATACATTAGCAAACTGTATTTCAAGATGTTGATACAACAACCCACATTTGTACACCATAAATGATGATGATTTCCATTCCCGATAGAAACGTACAGCCACAACAACAGAAACAATAAAGAAGACAAAGTAAACAGATAAAGAAGTGTCAGAAAGTGAAGTTGAGACTAAATTCTTGCCTGCTACTGACAGAACCTTCTTTGTTATAATGTTGGGCACCAACAAGCTTCTTTCCAGAATCTTGCAATTGCTGTCTCAAAGACACCGAATAAACTACAACAACACACAGAGTAAGCAAGTCACAAACAGCCTCATCTTCAGAAAACCCCGTAGCCTATATACAAAGAAATTCTTACTATCTCCAGAGCTCAATCCAATAAGCAAGTCATGCCCATCCTTGGCTTCAGAATCAAATGCATGACACACCGGATTCGAATTACTAAAATGCAAAGATTTTATAGGATCCTGCACACAAATTCCCCACAACCTTTTACACAAATTCCCCACAACCTTTTACACAAAATTCCCAAAAAACAAAAACCAAATTGTCCAAACCCAACAAAAAAACCAAACACATCCCAAAGAACACCAAATTTACCTTGTCAGGCGAATTGAGGTCACTGATATAAACAGTATCTCCAACATTGAAAACCAAAAAGAACCCTTTGCCACAGTGACTGGAACTATTTGTATAATGGGTCCCATTAGACCCTCCAAAATGACTACTTCTACTACTTCCATTGCTGGTTTTGCTATAGCCACTCCCTCCCACAAAGCTTAGAGCTTTGCCACCATTTCCTCCCAACAGCCTCGCCGCCGCAGACCTCACTCCTGTGGTGCTGAAACTGGGCGTCAGCGCAGGCTGACTAGGCTTATCCTTGAGCTGGGCTACGGTCACCTAAAATTCACAACCAAACACTGACTAACTCCGAGTCAACAGAGAGGGAGAGAGAGAGAGAGACAACTAACCCAGCAATTAATTAGGCCCTGTTTGGATCACACTCATCAATTAAATTCGTTTGGGTACCTGAGAAATTGACTTGGCGTACGAATAAGGAAGGAGATTGGGAGGCCGAGTCTTCTCCGAGTGAAGCTTGTAGCGGCCCTCTGGGGTTTTGAAATAGGCCTTTATAAGGGACTGGGTTTGGGAATTTGTTGTTGCTGCTGAGGAAGACGAAGAAGACGACGTCGTTTGGGTCGTCGTCGTTGTCGATGATGATGTGGGCGACATCGAGTTCAATCCGTTTCTGCTGTTGTTGTTGTAGCCGTTGTTGAACATCGTCGACGAAATTCAGAGTAACAGACTCTAAGACAGAAACAACATCGTAGAGTGTTTTTCACTGGGTGCTCTTTTTTTCGGTCGAAGGGTGCTCTTTTCTTCTATGCTGTTCTTCTTCTCGGCGAGAGGAGGGATCGGGTGCTTCGCGGTGTATTGGTGTCTCCGATGAGATTGTGAAAGTGGGAAAGGAAAAGGAAAGTGTGGTTTTTGTTTTCTTCTTTTCGGAACGTGGTTGACTTTGGAGTTTGGACTTTAGAGAACAAATGGAGATGGAGGTCAGTGTTAGGAACGATGAGGGCGATTCCACGTGTTTGCTGGCCGTAACTTGTAGAAAAATTGAAAAAGAAAAAAGAAACACTAGAGGAGTTTGACCATTTGTGTCATTTCGTGTTCGTGTTGCAAAGTAAATGATGTGTTATCATCTTTTTTCCCCTCAAATATAGGAAGAATAGAGAAAACTCACATACACAGGTATCATGCAGTTATGAATCCAAAATTACTTGGGAGCACACCAAAAGTTTGGGCAAATCTCATCCAACTAACACTGAATTGGTGGTGTGTTATCTCATTTTAAGTAGTGACATTTCGTGTGTGCATAAAAAAGAAAAATAACGAATAACTTTATACCAAGTGGTGTATTATCTCATTTTAGCTTGTTCGTAAAATAATTTGAATTGACTCACATATATAATTATTTGCTTAATTTCTAAACAAAACCTCTTCCTTATGGATTACTTATAAGATAAAGTTTCACTTAGTCAATGAATACTTATAAAACTATAATAATAAAAGAAACAATGTCATATTATTATACAACACTTAATACATTACATATTAATGAAAAAAATTAATTTCTTCAAAACAAGTACAAAGCAATTAAAGTATTGAATATGAATACAACTTCTTCAATAACCAAACTCAACAACAAGTTGAATTAATGTAATACTAGTTTATTGTATTTAGGGAGCTTCACTAATATACCCAAAATAGGGGCTGAAATTATAAAAAAAATCCCCGCATAGAATGCACTTTAGAAATACACCAAAAACTCATTTACTACATAAGAAATTGGTGTTTAAGTTTCTACAAATTACGTGATTACCATTGATCAACTTTTTTTTTGTTTTTTTGAAAAGGTTGATTTCATTCCATTAGAAGGGGGAATAAAAGGCATGTAACACACACAAATGGGCATATCTGATTTTTCTCTCTCAAATCCATAATACAAGAGCAATATAGGTATTTAACACACACAAATAAACTAAAAAACAATTATTAAATTGAAAAAATTAACAGCTGTCAATTTTTAGGTTTTTTTTTGGATGTATTTATAGTTCTTTATAAAACTATGTCTAAGATTGGGTATATAACTAAATTTCTATTGTATTTATTGTGTGGAAATTGAATTGTTGAATTTTACATTAACTTGTTTATGTTCGTGTTTCTAGTAACGATCAACCTAAACCACTAAAAATTCATGTCGGGTATCCCGACAAAAAAACAATTAAAAACTTCATGTCGGGTATAAAGTCGTTCCTTCCTTTCCTTTCATTTTGTTGTGCATTCACTATTTGGGTTGGGTTGGCTCCATGTGGGATTCTGAGATGGGCTAATATTTGTAACTGGAGATGACATTGACGAGGCTGGTGGACTCTTAATTTTCTTCTCTCTCTGTTCAATATAGTATCGGCTCAAGTGAAAGTACAATTGATTCTCTACTACTTGTCGTTACTCAACTTTTAGATACCTACGATGCCAAGACAACCAAGACAAATAGTGGGATATTCTAAAGGTAGAAAGTAATTTTTGGTTCGTATAGCTTGTTACTTTTATTATTTTGGTCCTGTCGTTTTAATTTGATTAATTTTGTCCTTATAGTTTTAATTTCGAGCAGTATAAAAGACAATCCCTAATTTTTTATCAAATTACTTTAATATGGAGGGGTATTTCGGTCTAATTTTGCATCTCCTCCACAACTACTCCCTAACCACCCAAGCAACCCCTATTGTAGTTTTTCTTATGCTTTCAAGTCTTAATTCCCTATTTTATCTTGGGTAGGGGCTGCTAGGTTTTTGTGGGGGTGATTGTGGAGGGGCTGTAAGTTGGACCGAAATGTCCCTCCATATTATAGTAATTTGTCAAAAAGATTGGAGATTGTCCTTGAATTACTCGGAATTGAAACTACAGGGACAAAATTGATCAAATTGAAACTACAGGGACTAAAAATGACTTTTTGCCTATTCTAAACTACTCTAATGTAAATGGAGGGGGATCAAAATTGAGTGCAAGGGGGTGGTTGCACTGCCTTGGCCAACTAACCTAACCCACATTTGCATTCGTTTTAGGTTTTTAGTTTTCATTTTTTTAGTGTGAGATATAGATAATATATGGAGGTATGCTAAATGTTAAAGTTACAAGTTTCATTTTTTCAACTTAAAAATACCAGAAAAGAAAAAAAAATACAGCTAAGTTTGTTGAAGTTGAATATCTGGTATTTTTTTGCTTATAAATGGGTGAACTATTGCAGATGAGCTTAGGAGAGGTGGGCTAATTGTAAAAAGAACCCCTAGAGCAGCCCTAACATGATTCAGCTCTCGCTCTCACGTACAGTTTCACAGATTTGGTTTTGACTTTAATTATAATGTAATTATTTATATATGAAGTTAACATGTTCTATTTATTATAAGTTGCTTCAATGAAACACATAGAAAGAGAAATTTCAGAATCAACATGGCTACGTCAACTGATAGAGGTCCCTGCACCAAAAAACCCAAAAGGAAAATAGAAAGATTTGTGAAGGTGACCTCCTTAGAGCAATCAGCAGAGACACAGAGCAAGGGATTTTATCCATGAGGTTGGGCCATACATAGGGCATACGTACAAGTTGCAAATCCTCATCAATCACCATCATCATTTGCTCTTGCACAAAAGCAAAAACCCACACTTGTTCCTTAAGTTTGTTATTGCAAGCAAATCATGTGCATCTCTTTGTTTCTGTTTTGATTTCATAGTTTTTTTTTAACCTTTGCCTAAAGCATACATATTATAAGTGAAAACAAAGCAATCATACACTTCTACAGCTTTATTTGCCCACACCCACTTGATTTGCTTTCTTTTTTTCTTCTTCCTGCTTTCCCAAGCAAACTAGTAGCTCTGACACCCTAATCTCACTTTGCATTCATTCTCTCCTTCCCAACAAAGACAGACATGTTAACTACTAAGGTTGCATTACTGCTCACTGAATTAAGCTTCTCTCACCTAATCCCTCCTCTCCCACCACAAATAAAAACCCTCCTCCTTACCCTCAAAACTCATATCAAACACCTTCTCCAAATATCAAACATCTTGTGCTTCTTAATTGTTTCTAAGCAAATTAAGAAGCCGCATCCAATCCAAGTACACTCAAAATGAAGATGATGAATCAGCCTCTCTTCTCACTCACACTCCTGCTCATCTCCCTCTCCCATTGCACCAAAATCTTAGCCCAAGCCCCTGCTGCTGCCCCAGCTGCCCCAGTTGCCCCAGTTGCCCCAGCTGCCCCAGCTGCCCCAGCTGCCCCTGCTGCCCCATCAATTACCGGGCCGGCAGTGCCATCACCACCAGCCGATGCCCCTGCATCACTAGGCCCAACCAACATCACCAAAATCCTTGAAAAAGCAGGCGGCTTCAACATCTTTATCCGCCTTTTGAAAAGCACCCAAGTTGACAACCAGCTCTACAGCCAACTCAACAACTCAAACAGTGAACTCACAGTTTTAGCCCCAACTGATAATGGCTTCTCACAGCTCAAGACAGGATCACTCAACTCTTTGAGTGATGAGCAAAAAGTCCAGCTGTTACAATTCCATCTGATCCCAGATTTTCTCACAGTCCAAAACTTCCAAACTCTCAGCAACCCAGTGAGAACCCAAGCTGGAGACGGATTTGAGTACCCACTAAACATCACCACATCAGGCAGGGCAGTCAACATATCAACTGGTCTTGTCAACACCTCCATTTCAGGCACTGTCTACTCTGATGGCCAATTGGCTATTTACCAAGTTGACAGTGTGCTCAAGCCTTATGGTGTTTTTTCTCCCAAGCCTCTCCCACCTTCACCGGCACCGGCTCCCGCGGAAGAGAAGCCTAAGAAGACGTCATCTGATGACAGTCCTGTTTCTCAAGTGAAGTCTGGTGCTGTGCCTACTCTGATCTCCAAACTTAATGGCGTTGTTTCCATTGCAGTTTCTGTGGTTGCTGCTGCAGCATTAAGCTTTTTGTGACAGAATTGTTTGTTCCAATTGGAGTTGGATTGAAGGGTAATGATGTCCGGTGACTGGTTTTGAATAATTGTTGTTATGCATGTCAGAAATGTGATCTGTATGTGAGACCAATACTGTTTAGTTAAATTTTTCATTGGGTTCTTCATCTGTTTTGTTCTTTGTATCTGTATTATTTTCATTTGTATTCATCTTCGGTTTCTTTGTATTTTGAGAAACTTGTGTAAATTCCTCCACAAAATTAGTACATGGGTCTTGATCAATCCTTTTTCACTTTTGGAGTACCATTTTGAATTTTTAGAATAAATTGATCTTGAAGGCTTCAGCATATGAACACGAAATTTGTTGAGGTGTGCACAATATTATAAGTGTGACGTACCAACAATCAATAAAACTTTACTACATTTTGAACCGCGTTATAAGAGAGATGTATAAAATCTAGGGAGTTTTGATATAAGATCAATATATACTATAACATAAGAGAATTTTACTATCCAATTTTACAATAATATAATAAAAAAATCTAAAAATTACACACATTGCCACTCCTTTTATATTTTAACCAATTTATTTGAAGTCAATCACCCTATGCCACATGTCCTGTGACCCACCTCCAGCCAGCCACCACCGTCGCCTCCTTGACCCTCAAAGGAGGAAGCCTCAATTACAAACCACTACACTAACCTTATTTTTATGATATTTGTTTCGTTACACAATATTTATATTAACAATCAACTTTAAAAAAAAAATTTATTCAACACCACTTCACGCACAATTTATACCAAATCCCTCGTGCTCTAGAGTTAAACATAAATAAGTCAATTTAAAGTTACAAAATTTTATAAATTTTAAACCCTTATGTATATTATATTGGTATTTTTTAGGTTTATATAATATAAACTGCAATACAAAATATATGTATATATATATAAAGCAAAAGGCAGAGAATGGTGAAACATTCAAAATGCCAGAAAATGCCATTGGTTAATGCAAACATTAGGAATTGAAATTATTAATTAAATGAGGATAATATGGTAAATTTACACTTTTCATATTAAAAAAAAATTAAAATTAAAAGAAAAATTAAAAAGAAAACCAATTGGCACATGCGTAAGCATGTGCCAAGGGGCTAGTATATATAAAGCAAAAGGCAGAGAATGGTGAAATATTCAAAATACCAGAAAATGCCCTTGATTAATCCAAACATTAATAATTAAAATTATTAATTAAATGAGGATAATATGGTAAATTCACACTTTTTCATATTAAAAAAAATTAAAATTAAAAGAAAATTCAGATAGTGAATCCTATTTTTATGGAACACAACTACCCATTATCTTTTTTAATTCTAAAATAAATTTCATTTTCTTTTTATAAAAAAAGCCTCTCGCAAGCGCGGAAGCGTGTGCAGAGAGGCTTAGTATATATAAAGCAAAAGGCAGAGAATGATGAAACATTTAAAATAGCAAAAAATGTCATTGGTTAATGCAAACATTAATAATTGAAATTATTAATTAAATGAGGATAATATGGTAAATTCACACTTTTTCATATTTAAACAAATTAAAATTAAAAGAAAAATCAGATAATGGATCTTATTTTTATGGAACACAACTACCCATTATCTTTTTTAATTCTAAAATAAATTTTAATTTTTTTAAAAAAAAACCTCTTGCAGGTGCGGAAGCACGTGCGGAGAGGCTAATATATATATATATATATATATATAAAGCAAAAGGCAGAGAATGGTAAAACAATCAAAATACCAGAAAATGCCCTTGGTTAATGCAAACATTAAGAATTGAAATTATTAATTAAATTAGGATAATATGGTAAATTCACACTTTTTCATATTAAAAAAATTAAAATTAAAATTAAAATAAGATAATTGATCATATTTTTATGAAACAAAACTACCAATTATCTTTTTTTAATTCTAAAATAAATTTTTTTTTTAAAAAAAAAAGCCTCACGCAGGCGCGGAAGTACGTGCGAAGAGGCTAGTATATAGTAAAACAAAAACAAAAATGCACTACCCTAAAAAAACATAAATAAAACTCAAATGTACGTCAAACGTAAATTGCACTGCAGATTCTAGAAAACCAATTTTAACGAAGCCAAAACTGCATTGCATAATTTCAGCCAAACACTCCAGAACCACCTCCAAAACTATAATCGATCATCAACCTAGAAAAAATTTTATACATAAAAAGAACATAACTAAAATTGAAACGATCCCCAAACAAATGTACTTAAAACGTAAACAGAACAACAGTTTTCTGGAAAAACTAATTGTACCGCAACCGAAACTACATTGCAGAATTTGAGCCAAAGACTCCCGAACAATCCCCAAAACAATAATTGATCCTCAACCTATAACAAACATAACCCAAATTTGAGCCAAAAACTACATTACGCTGACTTTAGTTTATGTAGTAGAACAAGAGAAACAGTAAAACCAGACAAGAAGAAAATAGCATTTAGAAAAGAAAAGCCGAAGGTTAAGGCTTGCCTTCTCATACACATACAAGTTTCCATCAGCATGAGCAGCAGCAAAAACACCGTTGCCTTTGGGAACCCATGCAATACTGGTACACCGACTGCTAAAAACGAGTAGTTAGTTTGTGTGGGCCCAGAGCCCCCAATTACACAAAACAGAGAGAGTGCTAAGTATATTCCATCCAAACTCAACAGACAGAGTGCTAATTACATTCCAAGAGTGCTTACTTAGTTTATCCCAATTTAGACATACATTAGCAAACTGTGTTTCAAGATGTTGATACAACAATGCATTTTAGGATCATGCAGCATTAGCCTAAATGATTAGATAAAAGCGTTAGGCTTTTGTGGATTGGGTCAAATTGTAATATTGTATACCTTAGGAGAACTCGAGTCACATCTCGTATTTGTTTAATAGAGAGAGGCTGAGAGAGAGATTGAGAAGAAAAGAAAGAGGAGGGAGCTAGAGCAGAATAATATGAGGAAGAGAGGAAAATTTTCGGGACCCCAAATGATTAGAGAATTTTCGGGACCCTGAAGGTTAGGACTCTTCGGCAGAGGAAGTTAATAGAAGCAAATTTTAATTAGAAACAAAACAAGCGTTAGGCTTTTGTGGAGGTAAATCCTGAAGCCCAAATGATTAGATAACTAGGCAAATCCTAAACACCAAATGATTAGATGAAAGCAAACTAGTAGCTATAACACCACAATCTCACTCTACATTTCCTCTCTCTTACCTTCCCAACAAAGACAGACATGCTAACTGCGAAGGGTGTATATCTGATCAAATAATTACCACCCTTCTCACCTAAATCCCTCATCTCCCACCACTTATAAAAACCCTCTCCATTCCCCAAAAACTCATATCAAACACTTGCACAAAATATCAAACACCTTGTGTAAGCACCATTCCTGCATTGGCATTACTTGTTTTCAAGCAAATTAAGAAGCCAAAACCCACCACACTCAAAAACATGATGATGAAGCTTCAGAATCAACCTCTTTTCTCACTCACACTTACACTTATCTTCCTTTCCCATTGCACCAAAATCATATCCCAAGCTCCTGCTGCTGCTCCGGCTGCTCCTGCCGCCCCAGCTACCCCAGCTGCCCCAATTGCCCCAGCTGCTCCAGCAATTACAGGGCCAGCAGTTCCAGCACCACCAGCTGATGCCCCTGCACCTGCAGGCCCAACCAACATCACCAAAATCCTTGAAAAAGCAGGTGGCTTCAATGTCTTTATCCGCCTTTTGAAAAGCACCCAAGTAGACAACCAGCTCTACAGCCAACTCAACAACTCAAATAGCCAACTCACCGTTTTAGCCCCCACTGACAGTGCCTTCTCAAAGCTCAGCACAGGCTCACTCAACTCTTTGAGTGATGAGCAAAAAGTCCAGCTCTTACAATTCCATCTGATCCCAGATTTTCTCACAATCCAAAACTTCCAAACTCTCAGCAACCCAGTGAGGACCCAAGCTGGAGATGGATTTGAGTACCCACTAAACATTACCACATCAGGCAGGGCAGTCAACATATCAACTGGTCTTGTCAACACCTCCATTTCAGGCACTGTCTACTCTGATAGTCAAATTGCTATTTACCAACTTGACAGTGTGCTCCAGCCTTACGGTGTTTTTGCTCCCAAGCATCACCCACCTTCGCCAGCACCGGCTCCGGTGCAAGAGAAGCCTAAGGCGTCATCATCTGATGACAGTCCCGTTGCTGAATTGACGAAGTCTGGTGCTGTGCCTACTCTGATCCCTAAATTTAATGTCATTGTCTCCATTGCAGTTGCTATGGTTGCTGCTGCAGCATTAAGCTTTTGTTGACAAACTTGTTTGTTCCAATTGGAGTTGGATTGAATTTGAAGGGTAATGATGTACGGTGACTGGTTTGGAATAATTGTTGTTATGCATGTCAGAAATGTGATCTGTATGTGAGACCAATACTGTTTAGTTGAATTTTTCATTGGGTTCTTATCTGTTTTGTTCTTTGTATCTGTAATATTTTCATTTGTATTCATCTTCGGTTTCTGTGTATTTTGAGAAACTTGTGTAAATTCCACAAAATTAGTACATGCGTCTTGATAAATCCTTTTTCACCTTTGGAGTACAAGTTTGAATGTATTTTTACAATAAATATATACTAGCCCCTTGGCACACGCTCACGTGCCAATTGGTTTTGTTTTTTTTTTTTTTTTTTTTTTTTTTTTTTTTTTTTTTTTTTTAAGAAAAGATAATATGGGTTGTTATGTTTCATAAAAGTAGGACCTATTATCTGATTTTGTTTTTAATTTTAATTTTTTAATATGAAAAAAGTGAATTTACCATATTATTCTCATTTAATTAATAATTTTAATTTTTAATGTTTGAATTAACCAATGACATTTTATGATATTTTGAATGTTTCACAATTCTCTGCATTTTGCTTTATATATACTAGCCCCATGGCACATGCTCACACATGTGCCAATTGGTTTTCTTTTTTCTTTTTTCTTTTATTTTTAGAATTAAGAAAATATAATATGAGTAGTTTTTCATAAAAGTATGACCTATTATCTAATTTTGTTTTAATTTTAATTTTTTAAATATGAAAAAATGTGAATTTACCATATTATCCTCATTTAATTAATAATTTTAATTCTTAATGTTTGAATTAACCAATGACATTTTCTTGTATTTTGAATGTTTCATCGTTCTTTGCCTTTTGTTTTATATATATAGTAAAACAAAAACATAAATTGCACTACCCTAAAAAATATAAATAAAACCCAAATGATCCTTTATCAAATGTACTTAAAATGTAAATTCTAGAAAACCAATTATAATGAAACCAAAACTGCACTGCAGAATTTCAGCTAGACACTCCAGAACCACCTCCAAAAGTATATTCGATCATCAACCTATAACAAATCATAATCCTTATAATAATAAATAAATAACAAAAACTGCAATCAACTACTAATGTTATAACAAAGTAATGCAGATACCAATGAAGTGAAACAAACACAAAAACTACAATCAACTACTAATATAAAACAAAACAAGGTAAAAAGAAGAAGAAGAAGCAATAAACTACTACTCTAAAGCAAAACAATGTAGATATCAATGATGTAAAACGAACACAGAAACTTCAATCATTTACAACTCTAAGAAAAACACAACAAAAACAAAAATTGCAAAAAGACAAAAAATGCAATCAACTACTACTGTGTCACAAAATAATATAGATATCAGTGAAGTGACAAAAATAGTAAATGAAAAAAACAAACAGAAACTACAATCAACTACTATTCTATAACAGAATAATGTAGATATCAATGAATTGAAAAGAAAAAAAGAAACTGTAGAAAAAGAACATAACTAAAACTGAAATGATCCCCAAACAAATGTACTTAAAACGCAAACAAACACAACAATTTTATGGAAAAATTGTACCGAAACCGAAACTGTATTGTCAAATTTGAGCCAAAGACTCTCGAACAACCCTCAAAACAACAATTGATCATCAACCTATAACAAACATAACCCAAACCACCTCCCTAAATTCAAAACTAAACTAAAAGCCAAAAGCAACCAAACTGAATTGCAAGAGCAAAAACACCTTCACATAGCTAACAGAAATTACGATAAAATACTATCAAATTCAAGTGATATCAATGAAGTAAACAAAAACAGAAACTGCAAACAAAAAATGAAATTGCAACCAAAAACAAAAACTACAATAAACTGCTACTCTATAACAAAACAATGTAGATATTAATGATGTAAACCATAACAAAAGCAAAAATAAAAACCAATTTTGACTATTTCGGACTTATAAGTACAATTTGAAAATGAAAAAATAAAAAATAAAAAATAAAAAAATCACTAGACATAAACAACAATGCATTTTAGGATCTTGCAGCATTAGTTTATCTTCTTGCAGCACTGGGTAAGCAACAGTGGCGAAGCCAGGATTTCATGTGTGTGGGGGCCCCTTACAAATTATAAAGAATCAAAAATTTGAACTCACAATACATACAAAAAATAGTGTATATATATATATCACATATGTCAAGAATTATATTGCTTATTGGTTGCAATCATAATTGTTCTCGACAAAGGGATAGACAAATACATTCTAAGCAAGAAAAATTGCAAAAGATAGATAAAGAGTAGCGATTTAGCAAATATCTTTAAAGCTTTTTCCCCCACTAAACCCAATAGAAAGAAAAAGAAAATCAAAATTTCCCAAATTAAAAACAAACTTAGGCCCCTTCATGCATTCATATCATACATGAAAAAATATTGACTAAGTATGAAAAATGGTTTTTTGGAATAATCATTTTCTCAAGATAATTTTTGGCGGCTTTTATTCCTTACACATCAAATAAGAAAACTTGATTTTATGGTATTTTAGTATGAAGTATATATTGACTTAATGAGCCATCATTTTTAGCCTAAATCGTATTTTACACTAAAACCGATTTTTCATATTTTGATTTGGTGGGAATTTGATTTTCTAGTATTTTTATTTGAATCCAAATAGGAGGTACTTCCTTATTTACATTGTAAACTTAAGTAAATGGAGTAATATAAAAATAAATTAAAGTAAAAGGACAAAGACATTTACTTAAATGTTGAAAATGGAAATAAGGTAATCTGTACACCTGGAGTGCACCACAACCAGCTGAGCAATAGTGCAATTTGAACTACCTCCTTGTGTCTTAATAAGTCCACCACAACACATGTGGGTACATATCAAAACGTAAAGTATTTGAAATAATATACATATACAAATACATAACAGTATATTACTTTTCAAATATAAAAAAACTTGAGTGAGGGCCCGGGACCACACTGGTCCCAGTGTGGCTCTGCCCCTGGTAAGCAACATCCCAAAGAAAAAAAAAACTAAAAATTTCAAGCCACCAGCCAGTATGGGAAAACCTAACACAATAAAATCATCATATCAAGACGAAAAACTATATGACATAACTAAGTAACAAACAACCTAAACAAATCAAATCAACAAATAAAAAATATAAACTACAATGCATCACATAGAAAGAAGCAGCCCAAAGAAATCAAAACGAAACATGATCAACCAAAAAAAAAAAGAGAGACCAAAATTGTAAACGAACAACAAATTCAATGTACTCATACCTCAACAGCAAATTCTATGAAAATCCCCGACCAAACAGCACCTAAAAAAAGCCATAACAAAAATAAAAACTACATCAAAGAGTTGAAAAATCAACTTATAAAAATTGATCTGATAAAGAAAATACATACCTCAATAATAGAAAAACAAAGCTTCACGTCAAAACTGAAACAACAATAGAAAAAGAAGATTGAACCACAAAAATCACTTTAGAAAAATGAAAAACGAAAAAAAGAGAAGAAAACAAACACAACTGCACCAACCCACAGAACAACAAAGATCATATCGCACGCCAAAACTGAGCTTGATCTGGATGAAAATCTACAAAATGAATATAAAATGCACAAAAAATAACCAAAATTAATATGAAAAATCATGGTTCCACCCTTACTTCAAAGTGAGGCTCTAGAATTCCCCGTCCTATCATGCATTGTGTATTAATATATGAAAAAGACATATTCTTTTCGCTACCCAAAAATATGTTTCTATATATTATGGTTTTTAAAAAAAATTTAAGACCACATGAAGAAAAAACACTCCAAACAAAATGTAATCAAAATAAATACTTGATAATTGCATCGAAGCATCACCATTACCTAAAACAAAGAAATCCATCTAGAGAAGTAAATTCTTCAAATTGTAATATTGTATACCTTAGGAGAACTCTAGTCACATATCATATTTGTTTAATAAAGAGAGACTCAGAGAGAGATTGAGAAGAAGGAGAGGGAGCTAAAGCAGAATAATATGAGAAACATAAGATAATTTTGGGGACCTAAGGTTCGTACGCAACCACACTATGTTAATTTAAGGGGGAGGAAGTTAATAGAAGAAAATTTTAATTAGAAACAAAACAAGCTTTAGGCTTTTGTGGGGGTAAATCCTGAACCCCAGATGATTAGATAAAAGCAAAATAACTAGTAGCTCTAACGCCACAATCTAACTAGGCAAATCCTAAACACCAAATGATTAGATGAAAGCAAACTAGTAGCTCTAACACCACAATCTCACTATATATTCATTTCCTCTCTCTCACCTTCCCAACAAAGACAGACATGCTAACTGCGAAGGTTGTATAACTAATCAAATAATTATCACCCTCCTCACCTAAATCCCTCATCTCCCACCACTTACAAAAACCCTCTCCATTCCCCCCAAAACTCATATCAAACACTTGCACAAAATATCAAACACCTTGTGCAAGCACCACTCCTGCATTGGAATTACTTGTTTTCAAGCAAATTAAGAAGCCAATTGCACCACACTCAAAAACATGATGATGAAGCTTCAGCATCAGCCTCTTTTCTCACTCACACTTATACTCATCTTCCTTTCCCATTGCCCCAAAATCATATCCCAAGCTCCTGCTGCTGCTCCGGCAGCTCCTGCAGCCCCAGCTACCCCAGCTGCCCCAATTGCCCCAGCTGCCCCATCAATTACAAGGCCAGCAGTTCCAGCACCACCAGCTGATGCCCCTGCACCTGCAGGCCCAACCAACATCACCAAAATCCTTGAAAAAGCAGGTGGCTTCAATATCTTAATCCGCCTTTTGAAAAGCACCCAAGTAGATAACCAGCTCTACAAACAACTCAACAACTCAAATAGCCAACTCACCGTTTTAGCCCCCACTGACAGTGCCTTCTCAAAGCTCAGCACAGGCTCACTCAACTCTTTGAGTGATGAGCAAAAAGTCCAGCTCTTACAATTCCATCTAATCCCAGATTTTCTCACAATCCAAAACTTCCAAACTCTCAGCAACCCAGTGAGGACCCAAGCTGGAGATGGATTTGAGTATCCACTAAACATTACCACATCAGGCAGGGCAGTCAACATATCAACTGGTCTTGTCAACACCTCCATTTCAGGCACTGTCTACTCTGATAGTCAAATTGCTATTTACCAACTTGACAGTGTGCTCCAGCCTTATGGTGTTTTTGCTCCCAAGCATCACCCACCTTCACCAGCACCGGCTCCGGTGCAAGAGAAGCCTAAAAAGACGTCATCATCTGATGACAGTCCCGTTGCTGAATTTAAGAAGTCTGGTGCTGTGCTTACTCTGATCCCCAAATTTAATGGCATTGTCTCCATTGCAGTTGCTATGGTTGCTGCTGCAGCATTAAGCTTTTGTTGACAAAATTGTTTGTAGGGGTAATTGTTGTTTTGCATGTCAGAAATGTGATCTGTATGTGAGATTAATACTGTTTTGTTGAATTTCATTGGATTCTTGTTTTGTTTTGGTTTTTTTGTATCTCTTGGGCTTCTGTTTATTTTGAGAAACTTGTGTAAATTCCTCCACAAAATGAGTACATGGGTCTTTTTGATAATTCATCATTTTTCACTTTTGGAGTACCATTTTGAATGTATTTTAGAATAAGAGTGATCGTGAATGGTAACTGAAAACGAAAAACTCTAACCTATTGCTTGTATTCATAAAAATTCAAGCTATCCTTATGCTATAAAAATAGTCTTAGAATCAATCATACATGAAATCATACAATACATAAAAAGAAATGGGAAAAAGTAGTAAGTTTCTGCATATATATTTGCTACACGAGAAGCGGTCACAATAACATTGTTTTGACATCATGACCCCTTTAGTATCATATGAACCTTTGAACTCTTTTTTTGTTTTTGGAGAAGTTATGTGATTGCATTCGTAATTTAGCCCAAAAAACCACTAGCCACAAAGGACCATTACAATAACTGAGCGATCTAACATCAAAATTAAGACAATTTGGTGCTTCTCCATTAACGATCACGCACGATCGGAGAAACTCTAGCATAGACATCCCAATTAAGATTGCAAATAAAAAAAAAAAAAAAAAAAAAAATATAAGCTTGAAAAAAATCAACCCATAACAATACAAATAAAACTCTCACAAAGGAGAGATGAAAAGCTCTCTCAAAGGAGAGGTGAAAAGCTCTCACAAAAGGAGAGGTGAAAACTACACAAAGAACTCAAAATGTCTTTACGACTTATTCCAAACTGAAAGAAACCGCAAAAAAGATGGTGGTGGAGATTCGACGACAAAACACAGGTGGAGATTAGACGCTGTTATGCAGCCGATTGTGATGGTTAGAGGAAAATCATAATAAAAGAAGATAAATAGGGGAAGCCTTCTGTCTTTGAGAATGGGGGAAGAGGAGAAGGAAGAAGAGAAGAGGGGCGAGGGGAGGAAGAACAGTGACTTTCTCCCCCTCAAAGTGGAAACGGCTTTGGGAGTGTTTTTTTTCTTTTTCTTCTGAGAAAGAGAGGTCTAGAGTTTCTCAAAAAATGTCATGAAAGTGGCAAACCTTTGAACCTTCGATATAAATTATTATTTTCGCTCATTACACCCAAAAATCAGTTTCTATGTCATGGCTAGAAAATTCATGACTACATGAAGAGAAAGACTCCAAACAAAATGTAGTCAAAATAGATACTCTTTTTAAAAGAATTTATCAAAGAGATATTTTTTTAAGTACAAACGATAGTTTAAATTGCAGGGAATGAGGATTTCACACACATAACTAAGATGCCAGAGGAGCGTTGGCAAACCCAAGAATTTTTAGCGAAGGTGCAATACCAAATATCCAATTATCCTTATAATTTTAAAAAATAATTGACAACAAAATATCCTTATAATTTAAACAATACCAATGTCATTCATAAATCATTAAAAAAAAAATTACAAATAACCTATAACTTTTGTTGACGAGCTTTCATATCATGAAAACGTCACATTATATTTTCATTACTAATACAAGCAAAAACATACTTTGGATTGGCGTTTGCTCAAGAAGAAGAAAAAATACGCATAAGACTTACTTTGGATTGGCGCACTCAAGAAGGAAAAATATGCAGAATTCTTAGGATGCACACTTGATAAATTTGTGTGATGGTAAATTGGTCCTTTATAAAGAGAACACCCAATTCCACATAAATAAAGAATTGTGCAAGAGTTTCCTTTTTTAATCCTTGTTCAAATAAATAAATAAATAAATAAATAATAAAAACCTAGTTGTTAAAAGCCCTAGAGTTTAAAGCCCTTATTTAAAGCCTTTTTTCCTTTTTTATGTAGGCCCTAGATAAAATGTTGTTAAAGCCCACACATGAAATGGCAGTCTAGGTTTTCTCTTTTTTATTTTTTATTTTTAAAGCCTAGTCCAAACGGCGTCGTTTTGGTCAGGATTAAAATAAAAAATATATAAATATATAATAAAAAAATAGGTGCACAACGCACAACCGAAGCAACACAGACTTGACTTCGTTTAGGGTTTTCGTGGAACACCTAGAGTGCACCTTCCAAGTTGAGTAGAGATGCAACAATGGCTTTTCCAGCGAGGAGGGGTACAACTGCACTTTCTTGGGCCTTAATAGGTTCACCACTGCATGGAGGTTCGAACCTAAGACCTTTTGTTTGCAAGTCAATGCCCTTTTCCACTAGGCTAGACTCCCATTGGCCAAAGAGAAACTTCCTTACATAAACTTCAACAATACAATAAAAGATATCAACATGACATCTAAAGCATCAATCTCAAGAAGGTAACAAACTAACATGCTAAAAATAAAACTACAGGGGATAAAAGCCGCACTAAAACTATTAGCCCATATCACCACAATTAAGCATAATTCTACACAAAGCCCACAAACTCAATATAGCTGAAACCCTAAAGCAACTTGGAAGCCTAATGAACCCTGTCACCACCTCCTGAAGAAGTGTTGTCACGGCCACACCCATCACCTTATAAAATCTTGAAGCAAGAACAAAATCTGTAACAAATCTAGGGAAAAGATGGTTTCCAGTGATATACTTGCGCATAAGAGTGAACACATAAAACAAAACAACAACCATGCCAAAAAACAATTGGGTGATTTACAGCAAACTCTATCAAATACGATGTAGAATTGAATTTAGAGAACATGAGCAATGTTAGAGAGTGGATTTTGGGTGAATGATTTCATTAGGAGAATGAACTTTAATATGAGCATGGCTCAAAAGAAATCACCACACAAGAGGTTTCTTATTCAAAACCCAGTAGACTTGTTCACTAACCCAAAATAAAAAGGCAAGAAGAGAGAAATGGGAGGAGGGACCAATGACGCTTCTTCCTCCTCCCCCGCTATGAAGTTTTCCTTTGGGACTCACATAGGGAGAAAGAGGCTAGGATTAATTAAAATAGAGACTTGATAATTGCATTAAAGCATCACCATCTCAAATTACCCAAAACAAAGAAAACCATCTACAAAAAAATTATTATTATTTTATCTAATCAAAGTGTAATCTTTTATGCCTTCCGAGAACTCTACTTATATCCCCATCTTAACATCTCATATTCGTACAAGGGATAGAGAGAGAGACTGAGAGTTTGAGAAATTATAATCAAAGGTGCTGTTAAACAAACCTTAAAATTAACTGAATGCACCCTATTATCAAACTATTTATTAAATTACTAATTTACTCTAATATAAAATGATCAAAAAAGATATATTAAATTATGAAATAAATATAATTTTAATAAGTACACCATACTCACCATATTCAAGTCTAATAAAATTAGAATTTCAGACTTTGATCCCAAACATATTTGAGATACAAATTCGAAGTTTTTAAAAAGTTAATCAGTCCCAGCAATCCCAAAAACAACAATTTGAGTTAAACAAGAGTTGTGAAAAAGACTCTGAAAAAGTTGAACAGTCATGTGCGATCTTGGTAAGTTAAACACCGGTGGTAGTTTAGTTTACACCTTATCTTTTTTTTATGCAATGTATCATGTCAGCTCATTAATTAGAGCAGCCATGTCTATGGATATTCCATAGGAGGATAATAGAACCACGAAGAAAGCTCAAATGGCAGCTTACAAAAACAAATCTATCAAATAATGATCCAGCGTTCCTAAATACTCATGAATTTGGTTCAATGCGTGGGTGAATCTCTGAGGGTTTACATTTGATGAAGGGAAAAGGAGTTAATAGGAACAAATTTGATGAAGACGACCAATTCATATAAAATAGGGTGTACCTAGTATTAGAGTGTTGTGTGATGGAGTTAGGGTGTATTATGGGTATTTTTGATAGTTAAATAGGGTGTACTTAGTTAATTTTATATTTTGATTTAATTATTAGGGTGTACTTAAATTACTCAGTTAATTTTAGAGTTCGTTTAACAACACCCTAATCAAAATAAGACAACTTTTACGATTTTTATGTTGAAATAAAATCAGAATAGATCATGTTCTGGAGTTTCCTAAAACCAAAAATTTAATACCTCTTAGATAACTTACGCTAAAAAAATTTAAAATTATCAAATCGAATGCGCGTGACTGCATGACAAGGGACTAGCGAGACTATTGACAAAAAAAATAAAAAAATAAAAGTAGTACTTCTTTATCAATGCGTGCACTCTCTCTCTCTCTCTCTCTCTGCCTCTGGTTGTCCGGGCTGTCCCCCAAGTTTTTCCTCTCCTTCCAACCTTAGACAATGAAAGAGTGCCACTTAGGAATTTGTCATTAATTTTGTCGGTAATTGAAGGATTTTTCTTCTTCTTCTAATTTGTAGAGAATATTTTACTTGAGCATTTTTAAAATTGTTATAGGTCTATGAGAGGTTTGAGATCTAGCATAAATGTCGTTTTAGTAAGACGGGCACGACCTAGTTCGATTCAGACCACATCTTTAATCGTTAATTGAATTGTCGCATAGCCCTCAATTTGGATTAAATGGGTGTTGCAGAAAAACATTGGTGTAATTAAACCAAATTGGACTGAATTTCATTGACTTGGTTTAGTTCCATTTTGATTAATTTGAGGTGGCGACGACCTAGAAGAAGAGGCGCTGAGTTGTTGAATCTACTAGAGCAAAGGTGACAATCGTCGACGACACATAAATGTTTTTTAAAATTAAAAATCAAACTAAACAGACTTGATCGGTTCAATTTAATCTTCTTCTTTTTTTGGGGTGTGCACCATTCTGTTTTAGAGCTCAACCGCCAACAATTTGGAAGTAAATGTTAACCCCAAATGATTACATAAAGCAAGCTAGCTAGTAGCTATGACACCACAATCTCACTACATTCATTCCCTCTCACTTGGCAAATGATTAGATGAAAGCAAACTAGTAGGTCTAACACCACAATCTCACTCTACATTTCCT